GAAGAGAGAGATATTCTTTAAAGATCACCCAGTCAAAAGGAACTGAAGATGAAGAAACCCACCAATGGACTGCAGGAGCAGTACTCAGGAAAATTCCTGAGTCAGGATGGAATCTACAGTTGCTTCTCAGATGATAAGAACATAAGCAACCATTGTATAAATAATTCATAGCTGCACCCTACTTCTTTATCAAAAAATGTCTTCCGGTGTACAGTGGGGTTATGAAGGGAAAAAATCAATTTGTTGGAATTATTGCACTATTGCTTTTATCTTAATGAAGATTGCTAAAGAAAATTCTCACTAGGCTTGGAAAAATATACTTTTCAGTTCAGGCAGCTACCAAAGGTCTGATGCTGTCAATCAAATATAATAATTTTTACCTGTAATAGCAATAGTCAGTGCTTCTAAAAAGGTCTATAAGAAATAAAAGAAAAAAGTATCATTCAACTAATTAAACCTTAATAACAAATTTACAGAAATTTGTGTAGACAAGAGCTATATCATTAGACTTGTTAAATTGAGTGTCATGTATATGAGAGAGGGAGGGAGGGAGTTTTATACTAAAGAGAATTGGACTTTTTTCACCTACCTTTTCCTTTGCCTAAATAAAATGGGGAAATGTTATATGTTAGGAGTACACAGCCTACATGCTGCTTACCACTCCAGGTTAGTAGCCCTCAAAACTCCAAGTAATATACTGTCAGAATACATGATAATCTGTGATAATCTTTGCAAGATCAGATTTTTCTCCTTTTATAATCAGAAAAACATATATTAAAAGTTTTGTGTACTTTCTACAATTTCCCATCATTTCCTCTAAAAATAAAGGTTGAAAATTCAGGTCTCGTATGTTGTTGGATCACTGCATCATCCCACAGAACCTGGAGGTTGACAATGCTACTATTACTATTGACCATTGCAAATTATACATAGACATATCTTTGAAAGCAATCATTTTCACAACATTATTAAGTCAACCGCTCTATTTGCACCGGTATGATCATCACCAGTTTTCTGAACAAAAGAGGTCAGCTAGGTTTGTCTCTAAAATATTTTTTCTGATACATGCAAACTTACTCTGCTATGCACATTAAAAAGCTATGCAGAAGGAAATGGTATGAATCATTTTCAAAGGACAGCATATGTTCCACAGATGTCTGCTAAAATGCTTTTCCTTTTTAAAAAAATTATATTAATAGAAGAACTACTAGAAGTACAAAGGTAAAACAAAAAAACTCATGGGGGAAAATCAGAAATATACAATAAAATACATTCACGTCACTAACTAACTGCAACTACCAAAGAGTCATCCATTATAAAAATACTTACAAATCCAAAGAGAAGATACAAATTAACTGGATACTGATGTCTGTATAGAGTTAAAGCCACAATCAGAGCCAAAGAACCAAACAAGGCCATCAAAAGTAAAGCAGGGCTGTAAATTTAAATATGACAACATAATGTTAGGAAACAATATTCTAGTATCTTTTGTTTCCCCCAAAATAATGTATAAATCAATCTTATCAATATTTAAAATACTTCAGTAAGCTTAGAAAGAATAAAACTTTTTGTTAGTCAAACTGAATCACAACATCTATGGCAGGTTATCAATATTTCAAATATTTAAATAATAAGACGTATTCACAATAGCAATTTATTTCTGGGTTATTATATTAGTTTGTTGTTGTTAGTCGCGAAGTTGTGTCCAACCCATCGCGACCCCATGGACAACGCTCCTCTAGGCCTTCCTGTCCTCTACCTTCTCCCAGAATCCATTTAAGCTCACGCCGATTGCTTCCGTGACTCCATCCAGCCACCTCATTCTCTGTCGTTCCCTTCTTCTTTTGCCCTCAATCATTCCTAGCATTAGGCTCTTCTCCAGTGAGTCCTTCCTTCTCATTAGGTGGCCAAAGTATTTAAGTTTCATCTTCAGGATCTGGGCTCCTAAAGAGCAGTCAGGGTTGATCTCCTCTAGGACTGTCCGGTTTGATCACCTTGCAGTCCAAGGGCCTCATAGGAGTCTTCTCCAGGCACCATAGTTCAAAGACCTCAATTCTTTGGCACTCAGCCTTCCTTATGGTCAAACTTTCACAATCATACATTGCAACTGGGAAAACCATAGCCTTGACTGTACGCAATTTTATTGGCAGGGTGATGTCTCTTCTTTTTAGTGTGCTGTCTAGATTTGCCATAGCTTTCCTCCCCAGGAGCAAGCATCTTTTAATTTCTTGGCTGTAGTCCCCATCTGCAGTGATCTTGGAGTCCAGGAAAATAAAATCTGTCACTACCTCCATTTCTTCCCCATCTATTTGCCAGGAACTGAGAGGGCCGGATGGCATGATCTTAGTTTTCCTAATGTTGAGGTTGTCTCCTTCTTCACCTGCATCAAGAGGCTCTTTAGTTCCTCTTCACTTTCTGCCATTAGAGTGGTATCTTCTGCATATCTGAGGTTGTTGATATTTCTCCTGGCAATCTTAATTCCAATTTGTGATTCATCTAGACCCACCTTTCTCATGATGTGCTCTGCATATAAGTTAAATAGGCAGGGTGACAGTATAGCCTTGCCGAACTCCTTTCTCAATTTTGAACCAAACAGTGGTTCCTTGTCCAGTTCTCACTGTGGCTTCTTGACCCGCATATAAGTTTCTCAAGAGACAAATAAGATGGTCTGGTATTCCCATCTCTTTAAGAACTTGCCACAATTTGTTGTGATCCACCCAATCAAAAGCTTTAGCATAGTCAATGAAGCAGAAGTAGATGTTTTTCTGGAACTCCTTAGCTTTCTCCATGATCCAGTGTATGTTGGCAATTTGATCTCTAGTTCCTCCGCCTCTTCGAAATCCTGCCTGTACTTCAGGTAGTTCTCGGTCCACATACTGCTGCAGCCTAGCTTGTAGGATTTTGAGCATAACTTTGGTACATGTGAAATGAGGGCAATGGTGTGGTAGTTTGAACATTATTTGGCATTGCCCTTCTTTGGAATTGGAATATTAGTTACTGGGTGATTTTATTAGTTGCTTCATTCAGACACACAACTGAATGGAGAACATGCTACTTACTGGCAAAGGAGAAAAGAAACCTAATTTTTGCTTCCATGGCTAACTAATATTTGGCCTTAGAAGCAAATTTTCACACCCACAAATAGTGGAATCCTTATACGTTTTCTCTCCCAAGCAAATGGTATAATTTACTTAACAAGAAATAAATAAGTTCACCCAGGAACTCTGTTCAGATGGGACAAATATCTTCTGTTTCCTACCCTCCCCCCACACCATCCTCAGTGAACATAATATTTCTCAAACAATTCCCTAGACCAGCATTTTTCAACCTTTGCAACTTTTAAGATTTTGGCTGGGGAATCTTGGAACTCAACTCCACACATTTTAAAGTGGCCAAGGTTGAGAAACAGCTCTAGATTACCTTGCAGAATCATAAAATATGAAAGGGCATTGGATTCGTATTTATTTTGTATTAAAAAATGAAGCAAATTTAACCAGATTCACTCACTATAGATCCTACCTTTCATGTACAAATGTCCGAATTGTCGTGGAATAGAGAAAAGCTGCAGAGGTCACAGTTGTCAACAAAATCTGGACTGAAAGTATGCTATAGACTTTGCGCAGAAAAGCTAAAATACAGAAAATAAGCATAGTTCATTATTGTTTATTTTCAAGACTTATGCTGAAATCAAATACCTATACTTTGTTCTTGTTTATTTTTACACGTCATTCAATTTTTAGCTTTTTAATGGTATCCATTGCAATAAACACTGAATCATCAGGGAATTCAGTCATATTACTATGACCTTACTGTCAAAAACTAATATATTGTGGTGAATATATGTAAGGTCAAAACTCCCCTCCCCCCGCCAGTCATGCATGTAAAATTCTTGATCTAGGATGGTGCAGGTCTCCACTATTGCTCTATTAAAAATGGATTTAAAACCCCTGCAATGTTGCCCACACCACACAACTCTTCCCATAGCAAGATGTTCATTGTAGAAGATCATTCTCTGATTTGTTCTACCTTTGCCAAATTACTCTCCTAAAGGAGTCCATGGTTCATCTGTGAAGGAGAGGTTTTGGAAGGTGGAAGCCAAAATACTGGATTGGAGCTCAACCAATCTCACTGTACATACGGTATGTTGTGCAGTGACAATAAAGGTTATTATTATTATCATTCATCACTTTTCTGATAAGAAAGTACCACCGGAAAAACTATAATCAAGTCTCTCCCCCCCCCCCCCCCCCCCACACACATGCCCTCGCGTTCTGGGGCTGCATTCCCTCTTGGGGAAAAGGCCTGGCAAGATCCACGATTGCCTCGGTTTCCGACGAGTACTGCCACTTTAGCGTAGTGCCGGGGCCCTAAAGCAAGCACAACAGGCAATATAGCCTGGAGCGGAGACTGTTTACAAACGGCAATAATTTCGTCTTCGAAGGCCAACGGAAGGAAGGTTTCGAGCTAAGCGGGAGAAGAGGAAGAAGCTTCATTGGGAAATGGCGAAGGCGACGGCTTCGGAATGGAAAATGGAAAAGGCGAGGGGTGGGTGGGTGGGTGAGAGAGGGCTGACCAGGACTCTTTACCCAAGCGGATGTGTACGCTAGCCGTCGCGACGTTAGTGCCATAATTGAAATCGTCCTCAATGGACGACCTCGGATAACTCTCCGCAGCCATCCTCGCAGCCACTCTCCCTCCCGAACTTCCGCGTCTGCGCTTCCAAATCCGTTGCTGAAAGGCGTTGCTCGCAACTTCCGGCTTGTACTCGCTCAAACTGGAGCGGTCGTGGACGCATAATCCCAACGGTGATGTCATCGCCAGCCAATAGTTGCGTCTTAAGGCGGGAAGAACGCTGAGCGTCTTGGTTTTTCAAGTTGGTGATGTTAAAAGCTTCGTCGTCCACTTGCTCCCTTGGCATTTAGCTAGCGTTGTTCCGGGGCTGCTGACTCTGCCCCTTGAGGTTTACATCATCAGGTTTAAAACTGTGGCTACTTTGTGGAGGAACAGTCCTAGGCTGGGTTTACAGAGGAATAAAGAATATTCTGACCTGGAGGGTGGAGTCTACGAGGTAGATTCCCTTGAGCCTCTCAAAGGTTAATAATGTACTGGCGAAGTACGGTAGGACTTTGTGTGTGTGTGTGTGTGTGTGTGTGTGTGAGAGAGAGAGAGAGAGAGAGAGAGAGAGGAAAGAAACGAGGTAATTAGATACAGCAAGATTTATATATATAAATATATATAAATAAAAGATATATATATTGACCGCAGACAGTCTGGATTTTCTTCTGCTAGCAAGTTCTAAGTATAAATTATGGCTTCCTGGTGTTATGAATCAAGTGATGTCTAGCCGTTACTGAACAGCAAAGGTAGCTCTTGGTTGTTAAAATCTCAGCCTACATTGAGGTTAACTTTCAGTGATCTCTTGAGGTCCTGTTAGTGTTAAATTTAATTGCCTCCTATCTTGCAGTTCGAGGTGACTCTGAGCGCCTTATAGACATAAAATACAGATAATCCTCCACTTATAACATTTCGTTTAGTAAAAAATTCAAAGTTACAATGGCATTGAAAAAATGACTTCTGACCATTTTTCACACTTATGATTGTTGCAGCATCCCCATGGTCATGGGATGCAAAATTCAGATACATATACCTGACTCATATTTACAACGATTGGAGTGTCCCGGGGTCATGTGATCACCTTTTGCACCCTTCTGACAAGCAAAATCAATGGGGAAGCCAGATTCATTTAACAAATATGTTACTAACCTAACAACTGCAGAGATTAATGAATGTGGAAATAAAGGTTGTAAGATGGAGCAAAACTCACTTAACTGTCTCAGCAAACAGAAATTTTGGGCTAAATTAAGGTCGTAAGTCAAGGACTACCTGTATACAAATATCCAAACAATTATAAATATAAAAACAGATTAAAATTACAAAAAATAAACTAAAAATACAGGTTTGGAGTGGAGTGAAGACTTGGAGGTGCCTTCTGTGTTATTGCACCAACCAACTCTAGCCAACAGCTTTTCCTTCAGGACCCGCCTGGCATAGCCAGGTTTTAAGGTTTTTCTTGAAGGCTAAAGGAGAGGGAGCAGCTCTTATTTCTTATGGCAAGATGTTCCAAAGGGCAGGAGCCATGGCAGAAAAGGCTCTTCTGGATCCCCTGAGCTGAAATTCTTTGGCTGATGGGATCCCCAGTAGGACCCTCTGCTAACATGAGTGGGATAGGCCAATCCCATTGGTGAAAGACAGCTCCTCAAGTATACAAGTATACAAAGGAAACAGAATACAGAATCTATTATTCTGAGTTGATCACCTGATTGGTTTAGATCTAAAGCAAGGTAGAGAGCTGAAGACAATGAAATTGCAGACAATCCAAAGAGATGGAGTAAAATTGGCAAGAGTTTTTGAACACAAGTAAGAAATTATCTGTCCCATCCTGCGGTGATTAGAGAAAAACAACATTTTTGCATCTTTGAGCCATTTGTTTGTGTAGAATCTTTTCCAATAAAGCAGAATTATGAAACCTGGGCTGTAAAAATCTGAAAAACCACAGGCAGCAAGGAGATATAACAAGTTTTATAGACCCAGTTCTCATATTTGTATCTTAGGGCAAGTTGCAGGACTTCAAAACCGAACCAATGTAAGGTGACAGAATGATGTTTGCTTAAGGCTTTAACGGAAGAAATTACATGAACAGTTTTGATACTTCATGAAAATTCACATTGCCTATTTCAGAGAGGGTAAAAAGAATTCCATAATTCCTCCACAGAAAGCATGAAGTCTACAAGCAGGACATAATTTTAGACTGGAAGATAACTTAATGATGACTAGCAAGAAACCAGACCAAAATGTGTCTGTAATCTGAATACATAACAAGCTATTTCTGTATGTGTATATTAAAATACATGTATTGCTACTGTAAAATAGCATAAATAAACTATACATTCTTCAATGTATTTTGTTCTTATCATTTCTTAATCCAAAGGACAACCATATGTTCCGCATTCCAAGCTGTAGCTGGTTCTCCCTGCTATAGCATTCATTATTCCTAGTCTGTTAAATACATATTTCTCTCCCTACATAAATATTCTTCTGAGACTGCTGCTCAGGTTTTCTGTCTGAACAAGGTCAACGAGTTATAGAGGTTACCTACTCTCTCTTTGCCTAATTTCCCATGCTGAATGGGGAAGACTGAAGGAAACGTCTGTTCAATTTACTGGAATATGACTATAGGTAGTCCTCAATTTATGACCACAATTGAACCCGAAATTTCTGTTAAGTTAAACATTTGTTAAGTAAATTTTGCCCCATTTTATGACCTTTGTTGCCATAGTTGTTAAGTGAATCACTGCAGTTAATAAAAATAGTAATCCGGTTGTTCAGTGAACCTGGCTTCCCCGTTGACTTGTCAGAAGGTCACAAAAGTGGATCCCATGATCTTGGGGACACTGCAACCATCATAAATATGAACCAGTCACCAAGCCTCTGAATTTTGATCACATAATCATAGGGATGCTGCAAAAGTCGTAACTGTGAAAAATGGTCATAAATCACATTTTTCAGTGCCATTGTAACTGAACAGTCAAAGTGAACTGTTGTAAGTCAAGGACTACCTGTAATGGATTCTATTGATTCCATTGGTCTATTCTAAATATAAATATGTCTTAATTCAGTCCCCTTCTTGCTACCAAATTTCACATTCTGGATATAGATCAAAGCTATGGCTTTTTAAAAAAATAAATGTTTACAATGAAATATCTATTTATATTCAGCAAAAAGATTTACATAAATTTCTGCATCAGGAAGTATGATTGAAATAATTTTCTTAATGATCATGCTAACTGAATGTACAAGAATTTGATTAAAAAGCCTCTTAGTCACGTATCTTCATAAATAGTTCTGCAAGAGAATAAAACTTGAAAAGAAATAAGATTAGGTCAAATATTAATGGCTAGAAATTGCCTAATTAATGGACTTACAGTTTTAAATAAAATTATTGTTACTTACATATTTATTTTATAAAATTGTTTTCTGTATTTTAAGTAATAAGTATTATAAATATAAAAGGAGCTTTTAGTTTCATAGAATTGTAATTATTCTTCAGCACATCCTTTTAAATTTTGTAGATCAGTATCACATTTCAACTGGAACATAAATTTTACATTTAAAAATAAATTATTAAAAACTACTGAATGCAAAGCAGTATTCAGAAATTCAATATAAATTTTGTTAAATATAATTATTATTAAGTACTTAAAAGGATAGAGGACTAATACATTCTCTATCTAAAAATAGAAGACTGGTCTAGGAAGATTATAAGCATAAGATTTGCATTTAAATAAAAACAACAACACATCCTTTCTTCTTATTTTTCCAATATATCTAAATGATTTTGTCTTTATTCCAAGTTACAGCTTTTTATTGAAATGTGCTATCTAAAAATTGCAGTGCTATGCACTTAAATGTGAAGCAGCTGCATTCTGCTCAATAAATAATACATTGAATTACAATATTGTGGCTATTAATAACCAAACTTCAGCTGTTCAGTAATCATCCTTTTGTAACTATAGGCCAGCATAAAATGTTCTGAAAAACAAGGATGTCTAATTAGAGATAATCATTTGCCAGGAAGTTTTCCACTAATTTTTTCCCATGCAATTTAGAATGTCCATTCTGTACAGAAGTATTTCTTAACCTTGACAACTTGAAGATGTGTTTTGGATTAGAATTCATATCATTTCAGACCACTTTCTAAGGTGAAAATTTTCAAACTGAAAATGAATTGTAAGGAATGTGTTTCACCTTTGTGGGGCTAGCCGTTATACTACAGTAAACAACCTGGAGAACTAGAATAATCGAATTGTTCTAAAATCAGGATCAAGAAAATGATTGGGATTTTTAAAAAAGATGTAATGAAATTAGGGTAATGAGAGCCAGTCTGGTGTAGTGGTTAAGACACTAGGTTAGACACTAGGAACCAAGACTGTGAGTTCTAATCCCACCTTAGACATGAAAGCAGCTGGGTGACCTTGGGCCAGTCACTGTCTCTCAGCCCTAAAAAGAAGGCAAGAGCAAATCACTTCCAAAATCTTGCCAAGAAAGCTGCAGGGACTTTTAAAGGACCCTCTTTTCACACTGGCACATTTCTTATTGTTTTAATTTTGTTTATTTTATAGAAATTTCTGTCCTTCTCTAATAGAACCTGTTCACTAATTAGAGTACTTCATGACTACTGAAAAGCACAGTATTATAAAGCTATATACAGACAAGATTAAAGATTGAATTGTGTGCATTTAATATGGGACAGCAAAAACAGTTTGGGAAATATATTGATATATGAATTTCTACAATGAATTAAGAACTCTTATGCTATCAGAAGAATGAAAATAAATATGGGAAACATGATCACAGCAGTAGCATTTTTAGGAAATAAAAATAGAAGTAGTCATGTGTAATGGTCATTCAGGAAAACAAAATCAGATCTATATTAAAGGCTGGTTACATTCCTTTAGACTTATTGAGGCTGAGAAAGTAAGAAAACTTGGGAAATGTACTATTCAAAAGTGGAATAGTATTTGGAAAGCATGGAGGAAATCTAGAAGTTGCTAATGTTTTGATATAGTCCTCATTCATCACTTGGGAGTAAAAGATGTTGTGGAATTTTTTTTATTTATTTATTTATATGCCGCCCTTCTCCGGAGACTCAAGGTGGCTTACAATGTGTTAAGCAATAGCCTTCATACTTTTGTATATTTATACAAAGTCAGCTTATTGCCCCCACAATCCGGGTCCTCATTTTACCTACCTTAGAAAGGATGGATGGCTGAGTCAACCTTGAGCCTGGTGAGATTTGAACTTGCAGTAATTGCAGGCAGCTGATGTTAATAACAGTGCTTTAGTCTGTTGGTTACTTGGTTATTGTCCTACAAGCAGTTTTTCATGCAAAATTAGGGAAGTAATTTGCCAGTGCCTTCTTCCAGGATGGTTTTTGGGCTCCCAGTCTAGCCAACAAATCTATAATTCTCAAGTAATTTCCCATTCAAATACTAATCAAAATTAAATCTCTACAGCTTCCAAGATCAGCTAGGATCGACTAAGTCAGTGTTTCTTAACCTTGGCAATTTCAAGATGTGTGGACTTTAATGTGCTGATTGGGAACTTCTGGAAGTTGAAATCCACAAGGGTAGACACGAAGTCAAGGTTGAGGAACGCTGGATTGCCATTTGTTGAGAATAAGCTTCATTTAAAATAGAACTTGTTTCTAAATAAATAAGGCTATGGCTCAGTAGTGAGTTTCAATTCCCAGTGCCACTGGATCACTACCGGGAGTGCGCAGCGCTTCTGCGCATGCACAGAAGGTTCTGTGCATTCGCAGAGCGTTTTTGATGACATCTGGGTGGGTGGGCGGAGCCTCCCGCCGCCGCTGCTACCGGTTCGCCCAAAACCGGGGCCAACTGGTAGCAACCCACCACTGCTATGGCTACATTTTCATGCTCAGAGCTTATGATTTCAAGTGCTTAACCATGACTGAACCAAATCAAAAGTTTGAAAATGTTATTATGAAATCAAGCCATGAAAAGTGTCTTTGTATGAGAAAAAAAATAATTTCTGTCCATAAAATAAAAAACCCATTTAAACCCATTAGAATATCAATGAGCCAATATTATTATATAATTGTCACATTTTAGTGATGGACTTTAAGAGCTCTGTAGAAATAACTCATCAGTATTCCACCATAATATTAATTTGGTGCATTTGTATGACATGATACAATGTTTCAGAATTATTGTTGAAATGCTGTGAAATACTATATATTTCAGGGGAATAAATGGTCACGGCTGAAGGTTTTTAGTAATTATTGAATGAAAAAAAAAAAGACCTGGCTGCAGACAATTCTAATTAATTTGAGACAGTTTTCCAATGAGTCTTAGCCCAATTATCTTCCAGGTAACTCTTTTAAACTTAAAGAAATGTAAACTCATGCTAAAATAGGAAGAGGATGCAGGATATAAAGTACACAAACACTGAAATGATTAAGAATAGGATCAACAAAACTTAAGCTAGCCTACTGTCAATGCAGTTTATCCTGGCTATTTCTTTATTTTGGATCCAGCTGCTCATCTCATACACAGAACTAAAAATTGTCTGCCAAATGAATGAATTAATGAGGAATGAAACCTAGCCATGCTACAGTAAATCAGTGATGATTAATGCTCTTTTATGACATGTTGGTTAATGACAGGAGCAGAGAGAGCAGAGTCAACGTCCCACATATGTGATATTCCAAATTCTCTGACTTACATTTTGGGCATGAGGTGACATATGTTTAGTAGAAGATAATCTGGGTAAAATTGATACTTTTTCTGATGGGGATCTAGGAAAACCCACAAGCATATTTTGCACAATGCCTTTGAATTTAAACAAGCCCTTGGAATGTATATTGTCTAACATCAATTGACCAATTGACCTCTAACTTTACAGCTGTTAGATTTATTTTTTTATGTTTAATCCAAAACTATAATTCTAGGAAGTTATTTTGAGAGGTCTCTTCTATAACAATAAGCTAATATAAGTGTTAAGTGAATGAGACATGTGCACATCTTTCTGAGATCTTTGCAATAGAGTAATTCCTCTGAATTTATGAGGTAAATTTATGAGGTAATTTACCATAAATTACAGAAATATTTATTTAGTATTACTCGAGTTTATGAATCACTGTCTCATAAACTAATATATCACAATTTCTTCATTATATTAATTACCATTGAATTTGATATTCTAATAACATTGCATTAAATTGTACTCCCTTATACTACTTGGAGGACCCTGAATAGGTTGAGAGTTGGAGTGCCTAAATGTAAAACCAATATGCTCAAGTTGAGGCTCTTAGTGGATAACAATATGCTATACAGTGGTGGGATTTGAATTTTTTTACTACCGGTTCTATGGGCGTGGCTTGGTGGGTGTAGCTTGGTGGGGTCATGTGACTGAGTGGGCATGGCCAATTCAAATTCTCTCACGGCAAGGTGGGCGGCATCTTGCTGTGAGTGACATCGAGTTTGCCACACCCAGTCAGTCACATGACTGATGCTGCAGAGACAGGGCAATTTCCTCCCCCACTTGGGCTGACAAAATAAAAGCCTGTCTGCTGAGCCTGCTTGCCGAGCAGCCTGGACTGGAAAACACATGGCTGGGGCGGAGGAACGGTCCTCCTTAACAAGCTCCAAACTGTTGCTGCAAGCCTGGGTTTTGTTTTGTTTTGTTTCAGTCATTCCTCAACAGCAACATGATTTGGCACATAACATCTGCTCCATTCCACCCCATGACCAATGGTTACTGAACGAATGGTCAGGACCACAAAGGAGGCGCTCAAGTGGATGATGAATGTGTACTGGAACCACCGCCTGGCAAACTTCCTCCTGTTTCAAAACAACGCCCAGTACAGCAACAGGTTGCAGCCCAGCAGAGCTGAGGTGGGGCCGTTGGCTCACAACGAAGCTCAATCGACTTCACCCAGATAGAGTAGCAGCGGAGACGGCTCAGCCAACCCCCCACCCCCAGGAGCCTACAGCCAGGTGAATTGGTCTGGGCCAGGAACTATGGGAGTGGGGCACCTTGGGTGGCAGCCAGGGTAACTAAGGTAATAGGCCTGTTGTTGTACGAGGTTACTCTGGGGGATGATCATACAATCAGACACCACATTGATCAGTAATGGCGTCGGCAGACCAGGCCAGTGCTGGTTGGGGATCCCAAGGCTTTATCAGACCCACTAGAGAACTGTTTTCCTCTGAGTTTTTTACACCACCCATGGCCGCCTCTGGAGAAACGGAGGTACCAAGGGCTGTAGAGCCGCCGCCACTCATGGGTGACCAAAACGGCCACCAAGACTCTGTCCAAGTGGAGATGGACAATATTCCACTTAACACTATATTCCTTTAAAAGCCTCTGACGATCCCTGAGTTGCCTGATTGTCAGAGGCTTTTAAAAGCATTTTTTTCTGCAATCTCTTAAGGTTGTAGAAAAAATACTTTTAAAAGTAAAAAAAAAAGTTGGCCATGTCCACCCAGTCACATTACCCCCCCCCTCCACTTTTTAAAAAACTTTTAAAAGCATTTTTTTGGCCAAAGAGGTTGTAGAAAAAATGATTTTAAAAGTAAAAAAAAAGCCTCTGATAGCGCGGCTCAGCTGGGCATGGGGGGGGCAGGGATTTTTGCTACCCGTTCTCCGAACCACCTGCCGCCATCGCTACCGGATCGGGCAATTCAGTCCGAACCGGGAGCATTTCACCCCTAGTTTTGATTTACTGAGGGAAAACCTGGAACTCTCAGATTCAGGTTTTCCCAGATGTGCCAGTATACCTACTCTAATAAATGGAACTTTGAGAAATGCTTACCTTGCAGTTTATAATTGGAGTGGAGCTTTCTGGAACCCTGACATGCAGTCCACCAGGATCCATGGGGCCCCATCCTATCTTAAAGACTATGAATATTGAACAGATTGGGGGAAACTATCATGGGAGGGGAGGGGTGTTATGTATTGAATAAATATAGTTGTGTTAAGCCCTGCTAAAGGAAACTAACCTTTAGATGACCCTAACTGTTAACTTCAACTGTTTTGGGGGAAATTTTGAACATTCATATTTGGGCAGGCTTTTTCAAGTATTATGATTGGTTGAGGCCCTGTGGGCCTAGAATATAAAATACAGGAATTTGCTTGTTGTTCTGCAGTTCTAGCTGAGTCAATAAATGCTGTTATATCTATGCCCGTGTTGGCGAACCTATGGCACGCGTGCCGGAAGTGGCACGCAGAGCCATGTTGCCCGGCATGCGTGGCATCGCCCATTCTTCTTCCAGGTTTCCAGGGCACGCATGCGCACCAGCCAGCTAGTCTGCTGGTTACTGGTGTGCATGCGTGTGCAATGATCAGCTAGCCTTAATGTCTTAGTGCGTGTGCGCACCGGCCATGCTGTCATTGCCCGCATGCAGCCCCGGGACTCCGCCCTTTGCCAGCCAGGAGCACTGCCGCCAGTCGCTCCCGTGCACCTGGCTGCCTGCCTGCCTCATCACCGTCACCATGAGGAAAGGCCCCGAAGTTGCGCTGCCTGGAATCCACGTGGTCTGCCACAGGGGGAGGCCAGGTATGGCTGGCTGGATGCTGCCTGGAACTGAGCTCGAGGCTGGCAGGAGGAAGAACATTGCCTCTTAGCCGGCTCGAACTGTCTGCTGCCGCAGCCTGCCACCATCCCCTCTCCCCTGCCAACTGCTCCTACCACTGCCAGGGAAGCGGCTGTGTGAGAATCGCTGCCGCCAAGGGCGAAGGGGCGGTGGTGGCAAGGATGGGCGGTCCGGGTCTTCCCTGTCTCCCCGCCCGAGCAGACTTCTAGCAGCGCCAGGCCTCCAGAGGGAGAAAGGGAGGGAGGGAGGGAAGCCCCTGCCTACTGTTCCTGCCACAGCCACCCCCTTACCCCCAGCAAGAGTGGTTGTCGTGCTGCCACTTCTCCGTCAGCACCAGGAGCAACTGCCGGGGCAGAGAGGGCGGGGGCAGGCTGTGGTGGTAAGCCGTTCTCGCTGGGCAACAGACAGGCTGCTCCTGGAGCAGGCAGGAGAAGGAGAAGCCACCAGCGGGGAGGCAAGCTGCCCCAGGAGGACTGGAGGAGAGCGCAGCTCCTCACTCATGGAGATCCACCAGTGGGGAAATGGTCGCAGAAAGTGGTAAGAAATGCATGAGCCAGGAAGCGATCATGCTCCCTGGCAGGAGAGGGTTGCATGTTCACTCCAGCAAAGGTTTGTGCAACCCTCTCTGGCCAGGGAGCATGACCGCTTCCTGGTCAGCGCACCTCTTACCGCGCCCACTTCCCAACCGGTAGATCTCAATGAGTGAGAAGCTGCGCTCTCCTCCGGTCCTCCTGGAGCAGCTCGCTTCCCCGCTGGCAGCTTTTCGTTCTCCTTGTTGCTCCAGGAGAAATCTGAGACTCAGCTTTCCTCGGCAAAGCGCTTCATCATTGCAGCGCAGGTAACACGCATGGCTTCGGGGGATCCGTGCAGCTACTATCCCACCCCTCCTCGGCCTTGGCCACACCGCGAGGCTCCAACTCGAGGAGAAGACGGGGGAAGGGGGGGAAGTCCAAATGGCAGCTACCTGAAGCAAGCTGCAGCGCGATTATGCAGGGCGGTTGGAGAAGCGGTAGAAATAGCCAGGGCTGGGCTTTCAGCGGGTAAGCAACGCTGCCTCTGCCGTGGGGAACTTTGGAGAGGGCAGGGGCAGGCTGTGCGAGGCATGGCCCAGACCTTTGGGGGAAGGGATTGAAGCCCCAGTCTGCTGCTCCTTCCGTTGTACGGAAAGACCAATATACTGCTTGAATTATCCGTTCCCTCCCTTCCCTTAATCCTGTTTCATGGCTTCCCAGCTTCCTCATCCTCTGCTTTCTGCTGTTTTCTCCAAGCAGCCAAGAGAGAATGGGCTTGCAAGGCTGTCAAGTCTCCCATGCCTGCGATGCCAGATCTTGCCTCCCGCCTGACCGAGAGACTCTGCTTTCCTTGGCAAAGCGCTTCATTATTGCAGGGCAGGGAACATGGGCGGCACCAGAGGATCCGTGCGCTAGTATCCCACCCCTCCTCAGCCTTGGTTACGCCGCGAGGCTCCAACTCAAGGAGAAGATGGAGGAAGAGGGAGGCGGGGGAAGTCTAAACGCGGGCTACCTCAAGCAAGCTGCAGCGCTATTACGCAGGGCTCCGAGTGGTTGGAGAAGAGGCAGAAATAGCTAGGGCTGTGCTTTCAGCGGGTAAGCAACACTGCCTCTGCCGTGAGGAACTTTGGAGAGAGAGACCGGGGGCAGGCTGTAGCCGTTCTCGCCAGCTAAGAGACAGGCTGCTCGCACAGCCTGCCCCTGCCCTATCCAAAGTTGCCCATGGCAGAGGCAGCGTTGCTTACCCGCTGAAAGCCCAGCCCTGGCTGCTATTTCTGCCGCTTCTCCAACTGCCCTGCATAATAGGGCTGCAGCTTGCTTCAGGTAGCTGCCATTTGGACTCCCCCTCCCTTCCTCTGTCTTCTCCTCCTTGAGTTGGAGCCTCGTGGCGTGGCCAAGGCTGAGGAGGGGTGGGATAGTAGCTGCACGGATCCCCTGGTGCCGCGCGTGTTCCCTGCGCTGCAATGATGAAGCGTTTTGCCGAGGAAAGCTGAGTCTCAGGCTTCTCCTAGAGCAGCAAGGAGAAGGAAAAGCTGCCAGCAGAGAGGTGAGCTGCCCCAGGAGGACCGGAGGAGAGCGCAGCTTCTCACTCATGGAGATCTACCGGTTGGGAAGTGGGCGCGGTAAGAGGTGCGCTGACCAGGAAGCGGTCATGCTCCCTGGCCAGAGAGGGTTGCAAAAACCTTTGCTGGAGTGAATGTACAACCCTCTCCTGCCAGGGAGCATGACTGCTTCCTGGCTCGCGCATTTCTTACCGCTTTCCACGATCATTTCCCCACCGGTGGATCTCCATGAGTGAGGAGCTGCGCTCTCCTCCAGTCCTCCTGGGGCAGTACGAGAACCGCTCTTGCTGGGGGCAAGGGGATGGCGGTGGCAGGAGCAGCAGGCCGGGGCTTCTCTCCGGAGGCCTGGGGCTATACCAGAAGTCTTATCGGGCGGCGACACAGGGAAGCCCCGGACTGCCCTCAAAAGAACAACTTTCCAGGCCCAAAACGGGGCAGAGGGGTGCCCAAAGTGCATGTGCAGGACGCGCATGCACAATGTTGGGTGCATGCGCGGGGGAGGGTCATGTGCGCATGCGGGAGGGTTCGCATTGCATTATGGGTGCTGGCACGCACAGGAGCTGTTGCGCGCGCACATACACACTTCCGGCACGCCACAAGAAAAAGGTTCGCCATCCCTGATCTATGTTCTTGCCTACCACAGCCCACAACATACTTACATTGCTCTACTTACATAAGTAAAAACAATATTTTTATTGTTCATATGGAATGTGACTTGGAAGGAAGTCCTTGAATATAGAGATAACCAGTACTGGGATGAATGAGCCCCTTCTTGGTTTTTTTAAGCATTTAAAGTGTTGATACATCAACACAACGTTTGGCAAGTGAATCCTTCAGAAAATATTTATTAGAGCTCATTCTTATGCCCTTTTGTATATCATATCCAGAGACAGAGAATCTGGGAGACTCAAGAGAAAATAGGAAAAGAATGTGAATTTCTATTACCTGGGGCGGGGTGGGAGCTGGCTCACTCCCCCTTTTTAATGTAGTGTTGACATTTTGACCTTTATAGCTTCTTCCCCATTCCATCCTTCCCTAGCCTTACGTGTATGGAGTTCATAATTCCTCTCCCTTTCTTCTTTCAATCTTAAAGTTTTCCTGCTGTCTGGGATCATTTCATAGAATGTTTTCCTCCTGGTTTGGGGCATCATTTTTTAATTATATATTTTATTTTGTACTTTTAAATGTCCTTTTTTAGTCTGGAAACCAGAACTAACCCTATCCCTGGAGGATTTGAGTTTGGAACTTGTCTTCTTGGTTCAGAAGGTGAACCATCCTAAAGGAGTCCCTTGGAAGTCTTGCAGAATTTTACAGTACATTTACAGTAAGAACATTTAATTTAAGCCAATAACTCAGAAAATGATTTACTAACATGGATAAAGTTGTTTGTCTATAGTCAGTCAAAGACTGTGACCAAAAATTACTTGGCTTTCATTATTCTGAATCTTTGGATATATTTAAAATTAAACTAAATATTGATTTCCCCCCTTATATTACAGGAAAGACTACAAAATTATAAATGAACTCTGTTGCAGGCATTACTCAGAACATCCAATGTTTGGAGCATTAACCAGTTGTTTATCACGTAAATCAATATAACAGATGGATAAAGGGAAGCATTTAAAATCCATTTTAAAAATGCACTCAGTTCCATGGTTTATGTTTATATCAGAAATGCAAAGAATAAAGTAGCTTCATGAGTCAAACAATATTGTGGAATATTCGCTTTCAATGAAGCCTTGTCAGACAATTAATTTATGTGGATAATGCTAGATCTCACCCTTATAGATTGTAATTAAAGAGTCTGTATATCCCAATGATATCATGAGGACTGCAGATCACCAGTATGTTTACCCATGATGACCAGTTCATAAACAATCAATCAGACTAAAGATGATCCATCGGAGAAGAACAGGCAACCCACTGTGATATTTAAGCCAAGAAAAGTAATAGATATTCACCAAAAAGACCTGACAGCACTTCACTGGAAAATATAAGTTTCCCAATTTGGAAGGTATCCAAGAAACAATTGGGGAATAATGGAGGGCAAGTAAATAGCAATAGTGTTTATTATGTAGCTGGATTAAAGATTAGAGGGTCATTCAGCTACTGGGAAGATCCTGAAAAGATAATCAAGCAATGGAGCTGCAACGACCTAGAAACAAGCAAAGCTATTATTGGAAGCCATGGGTTTGTCAAAATAGATCATACCAGACAAACCTTATTGCATTCTTTGACAGTGACTAAATGGACCAGTAAAACGCTGTGGACACTGTATACTTGGACTTTAGTAAGGCATTTAACAAAGTAGTAGATCACAGTTTACTTCTTAGCAAGATAGAAAAATGTGGGATAGACAGCATCACTACCAGATGGATTTATAACTGTCTGACCAACCACACCCAATCATAGTCCTCAGTGGAACTACATTTAAATGGAGGAAAACATGCAGTGGAGTACCCCAAGGTTCTGTCTTAGGCCCAATACTCTTCAACATCTTCATAAATGATTTAGATGAAGGCATAGAAGGGGAACTCATCAAATTTGCAGCAACGCCAAGGTGGGGACAGCAGCCAATACTTTAAAAGATAGGTTCAAGATCCAGAAAGATCTTGACAGACTTGAACACTGGGCCCTATCCAATAAAATGGAATTCATTGGTAAGAAAAGTTAAAATTTTATACATAGGCAAGAACCAAAATACATAGGTACAGAATGGGTGGTATCAATAGCAGTAACTGAGAGAGAGAACTAGGAGTACTAGTTGACAGTCACTTAAGTATGAGCCAGCAATGTTCTACCACTGCCAAAAAAAAGCCAATGAAATCCTAGGTTGCATCAACAAAGGGATATATCAAAATCACATGAAGTGGTAGTACTGCTTTAGACTGCACTGGTAAAGCCACACTTGGAATAGTGCATCCAGTTTTAGTCACCATGCAAAAAAGATGTTAAGACTCTTAGAGTGTAGAATGTAGAGAAGAGCAACAAAAATGATTAGGGGACTGGAAGATAAATCATTCAATGAATGTTTGGATGATAGAATGATCCCAATTAGGGTCTAGTCTAATGAAGAGAAGAACTCGGGTGACTTGATAGCGATCTCCAATATTTGAAGGGCTGCCACAGAGAGGAGTGAGTCCACTATTCTTCAAAGTAACTCAGGGCAGAGTAAAAAGTAATGGTTGAAAACCTATCAAAGAGAGATCCACTCTAGAATTAAGAAGTTTCCTGACACTGAGTACAATTAATCAATGGAACAGCTTGCCTCTAGAAGTTGTGGTTGCTCCAGCCCTGGAGGTATTTAAGAATTTGCACTACCCTTAGCGAAACTTCTGTGCATTGTCTTGAAAAGTTTATATTGATTGCCTGATGGTTTTCGTAAATGTAGTGCTTTGGAATAAAAATAGGCTCTAGATAAGAACTGAAAATAAGTTGCTATCTGTTCAAAGTTGCCTTGAAAAGGAGATGGGAGCTAATAAATTGGATAAATAAATAAAAAAATATCTTAGCTTCAGGATTTTTCTTTTCTTTTTGGTGCCTTCAAGTCAGCTTTGACTTCTGGAGAGTGCCTGGATTAGTCCCTGAAATTTTTTTGGCATTGATATTTGGTTTCCCATTGCCGTCTTCAAAAATAAAAACACTTCCTAAGGTTGGAACTTCTGTTATATTCAGCAGCCCTATGTTTCCATCTTTCAGTTATAGATGTGTGAAGTACTTGGTTTTTCAGTCTCTTGAGAAGGAATTAACAGAGCAGCACTTAAAAATAATGGCAAGACCTCTAAGCATATTTCCAGTGCTCAAGAATAATATGACAGGAAAGGAAGAGGAAACTTTTGATGTATTTTCAGCATTGCAATGAAGATATTTTTAATGCTCATTTAAAAAACAGATGCATCTTGGTTAGTCTTAGTTGAGGACTTAGCAGCATGATGAAGACGTAGATGTATCCCATACACAAATAAAATTAACCCTATCTTTTTTTTAATATGTTGGTCCCCTCCTACTTTTCCTACTGATCTGATCTTTAATATTTTTAGTTTAGGTTACCAAAAATCAGAGAAGGCTGGTTGCTACAGGGTGCATACATATAATTTAAAGCTATTTTTATCAACTAGAATCAGGTTTTAAGGCAGGTCTTTTTTTAAAAAAATCTGTTTCGTTAATATCTCAGAATTGTTTTTTCCTTGGAACAGATTTGAAGTTTGACCCTGAAGTATATTATTATTATGCAACTCTTCCAGCCATAATAAGTATATTATTCAGTAAGAAATTCTGCTTCCCTTTATCTTTTTGTGGTTGCTGTGGTTTGTTTCACAATAGAAATGAGATATTTTGTGATTTCATATAAGAGCTTTAAAAATAATGTGAAAAATTACACGGACCACTTGATTAAACAAAAGGAATGGATTTTGTCTTTAAATAAACTTTTAAAAAGACTTCACAATTGTTAAAAACATTCACGTTAAGCTGCTATATACATACCAAGCATGTTAGTTTATCATATAAATTTTAGTGGCATGCTGTATGTCTACATTTCTCCCAGGGAGAGGAAAGAATAATAATTGCCCTTTTACATTTTGTAGGAATGTCTTGAAGCTATTACTAAATATTTGTCAATCATCTTTCTTCTAACCAGGTTATTTCACCTGAGTTTTTCAGAGGATTCTTTTCATTAAACTAATTATCATAAAAAAGGCAAAACTTGTTTGGAAGTAATCAAATGAGTTATGCCAAAACTTCAATTTCATAGACACATGTAGCATATTCCAGATGCAATAAACAGATTTCCATCTTATTTCAACTACGCCTGAAATAAAGTCTGTTGCATTCAAAGTAGTCTGGATGAGGCAACTGTATTTATATTAATTTTGTATCTTGGCAATTTTCATTGGCCTAATGAAACATTACAAATAATATAGTGATGAAAATGATCTTTTGTTTTATAATGATCATGATTGCCTAATTTGATTATTATAGGGATTAACTGACATCTGCTTCCATGAATGGTCTCTTGTAATGTGACTTCACTGTATTTTGATATTTGTTTTTGCTTGCAAAAAGAAAATGTAACAGTAAATAACCTCTTGAAAATTGAAATAATCCAATTTTGGCTATCTGCAGCGTACTTACTTATATTACCAGGAAGCAGTTCTTTTGTTGAGGCATACATAGCCAGAGTTTTAGAAATTCAAACCCTTTACTGGGAATTGCATTTTGGATATACAGGGCATCTTTGTGGCTACTATACCTGATCAATCCTGAGTAAAGATGAAATTGGCCAGGTACTGCCTCCTAGTGGTCAATCTAAGTTGTTTAGTGCAATACACTAAGTTGGTTACACTGTGAATAGAAATAGAAAAGGAATAGAGCTGGAAGGGAGACCAGCCCCCTGCTCAAGCAGAACCTGTACCACTTCAGATAACTGTCCAGTCTCTTCTTAAAAACCTCCAGTGATGGAGAGCCCACAATTTCTGAAGGCAAGCTATTCCACTGGTTAATTGTCCTCACTGTTAGAAAGTTTCTCCTTGATTCCAGATTGCTTCTCTCTTTGATTAGTTTCCAACCATTGTTCCTTGTCCTGCCCTCTGGTGCTTTACCCCCTCTTCTTTGTGGCAGCCCCTCAAATATTGGAATATTGCTATCATGTCAAAAGAATTCTTCTTTTCTTTAGACTAGCCAGACCCAAAAGCTGGCAGCTATTCTTCATATGGTTTAGTCTCCAGGCCTTTTATTGTCTTAGTTGCTCTTCTCTGAACTTTTTCCAAAGTCTCAACATCTTTTTTAGAGAAATGCCGTCACCCAAGAAAGGAAGTCACGTAAAGCCTCCTAAATAAAGGCATGACATAATATAACATATATATATATTTCCTTGAATGCTTAAAAAAATGAATTTATGAATTGTATTTGTTGCACTAAATCCTAAAATTTCATGGGATAAATAATGATCACACAACTTGGATTGTATGATATAGTGAAACAATCCTTTTTCCCTATGTGAATATTTCCCTATGTAAGCTGTTTGTCTAAATATTTTTTTTCACTTTATGATGAAGTTTGCAGCTTCACCTTTGCAAGTTGCCTTGACTCAATTTTTGCCCATTTCCACTCTTCCATAGTGGTAAAAGAAGTCATGTTCCACGATTTTTCTTCTGTTTTTACTTTTAAGATCCAAACTATTGTCTTTAAATATGTTTATTAATTTTTTTACATTTTCCATACAAATTTTTAACAATTTTAGTTCCCAGAAACCATACATAGATGATAAATATCATGCTATTAAAGTATTAAATTTGTACAAAAATACTTTAGTTTAATACTCATTGTTACAAATAAAAATACGTATTAAGTGGTTCATGATATGGATTTCAATTTCATTTAAATTATTTTTTTTCTTTCTGGCAGTGCTGGAATATGAGAAGATGTCATGTGAGTGCATAGGGCATAGAAACTTGCTCTAATAGGTGAAGAAAAGAGTATTATGGGTATTTTGACAATTCAAAGAGGCCAAAAAAATTATGGTAAGATATAAAGGTTCAATGTTATCACAGAAAAATCCGGTGTCTTTCCAGTCACTAAGTAACATTAATTATCAAGACAATACAGAGAACAAACCAAAGCAGCTGCTGGTGGGTCTCAAAAGCAACTAGCAGCATTTTATTGCTTTGAATGAGAAACAGGGCAGAATTTGGGAATATGTGGGTAAAACATATTTTAAAATTAAGTCTTCAAAATGGCAGAGTCAATGAGAGCTCCAACAAAGCTATTTAAATAGATACTTTAAATCAATGCACATTTCATTTATCTTAATTTTTAAAAAGAGTCCTGTGTTGCTGTACAAGTTTATTTATATATGTGTTCCCTAAACACAGCAGTTCATATGTTTTTGCATCAGTATTACTTTGCTACTGGAATTCAGTTAAGAAAAAAACTTACTTGAATATTTTTTTTATTAAACCTTGTTTCCATAAGCCTTATTAATTGTTTTAAAACAAAAATCATTATACGTTCCAAATACCTAAAAGTGAGAAATCCATACAGGCTGCATGACATATCCTATTCAGTATATCATTGCATAGGGAATAATGTAATTTCTAATAAATCATATTGTAACAGAATCTAAAGTTTTACCCTCCGGGATCCTGTGTGCACCTTTGCTGAAATGATTGCAGAACAAGTAACAGTTTTTGGTCCCCCCCTTTCCCCCCCTCCTCTTGTTTAGCAGAGATAACAGATATACACTTTGTTAAACAATAACTATGGTACAATAATCTTTTGGGCATAGTGATAATATTTTGATATTCCTTCCTTCAATTAGCTCATCTTTTAATATAAATTTTGATAATAAAAAACTCATGTTCCAAATTGGGGATACTCTTCAGGGACTTGGATGGGAGTTGAAAAGAGCTCAGTTTCATTTACAATGTTTCTTTTGATTAATCTACATGAAAACAGTTACTTTCCTCATTAATTTCTCTTGCATGTGGAATTCAACTTGAAATGGCACTATTTGTGGTTATAAAAAAGTGAGAAGAAAACTCGATTGGGAAGAAAGCAGCAAAGAATGAGCCTTGAGAAATAATCAGAACCTTCCCTGTGTGCTTCTCAATATTAGATAGTGTCTGTGTTTCCAGTGTATCAGACATATTAAAAAAAAATAGCACCATTTAAATCTCTTGGACAGATAGTTTTTGGCTATAAAGTGTTCATAGGTTCCCATTTCATCTCTGAACCTGTGTTATGTCCGCTTTGTTGAAGGAAAGCATGGTTTGGATGGCTCCATTGTCCTGTTGAGAAAGTCTGATGCTCAGAGCCCTTCTTTTGGGAAGCTAATGGGTTGCGACTAATAACAAGTTCTAATTTATTACCAGATTCTGCTATTAGGGGTACAACTAGGCAGCAGTCAAAGTCTCTTGTCCGAACATGATTTACCTGAAAAGGAAAAAAAATAATTTTTTCAACAAAAGAAGACAAGTCAAGCAAGCCAATAAAAGATGGTCTTACGTGTTTTTTAGGTGAAGGATATATAAAACAGTTTAGACCTAGATAAATAAAGAGTTTGAAATAAAGAAGAAAATATTTGCAAGAGAATGAATTAAACTGAATATAATTTTGCAAGCTAATAAGTTTAATTTGATTTCCCCCTATACTATCTAACTTGATTCAGAAGTCACAATATTTAGCAATATCGTGTAAAGAAAATGAATACACAGTTGCAGTTGTGCAACAGATACTACTGTATTTACATAAATAATTATAATTTAGAATTATTTAGGACTATTTCCCAAAAGAAAAGTAAACAACAAAAAAATAGTAAAAATCCCAAGAAATGACCATCTTCCCTGCCTTATTCATTCATTCATTCACTTACTCATTCATTCACTCACTCACACCTTTGCAGCATCCATATACTTCCACTGCACAAGGGCCCCTGATGTTTTAGAAAAACTGCCAGATATAGTTGAATTATTTAAGTTGAATTGTCTAAAATAAGGAACTTAATTTGGAGAATTCTCTTTATCTGCATTTATCAGCTATTCTCTTTCACATTCGGTTTTCTCACACAAAACTACACATACATTGTAGCAATCTCCTTTTAGCACAAAAATAAAGGAAAAATAGGATAGAGACAGGATGCAGGGTAAGGATAGCTGTATTGGGAAGGGTCTATAAGAGAAAGGGGAAACAGAAAAAAGTGGAGATGAGGTAAGAAGAACCAAAAATTAGATAGGTAAGGAAAGAAAAGAGAAGTGAGCCCTATGCAGGTATTCCAAAAGTGATTAAAATTCATCAGAAAAATAGCTCCACCTAAACTATAGCTAATCTTCAAATTAATCCCGCTTTTAAGTGGCTACATCTACAATCCCATATATATCTTCTTCTCACTTTTCCTTTTCTACATTTTCTTCATTCTTTTAATTGAATAACACCGCTCAACTCGTAGGTAAATTACTTTATCTACTTTTGTATTGGACAAAAAAGCACCTTTCTATAAGGTATTTAATGACATTGTCAGGTCCCAGATATTTCTACAGGGACGCTGGCATTTTGGTGGGAGGAAGGGGGGAGGAATGGAGTGATCTGTATATGAAGTTTCTGTTTCTGTTTCTTGCATTACTGTGTTAATCTCTATATGAAGTTTCTGTTTCCCTGCAATGATGTAGTGTGGGAGGGGTTTGGTTAGCATTGCTTTAAATAGCTGGTTTTAAGTGAGAAGCTTCAGTTCTTGCCTAGATCTCTTGTTATCACAAATCTTTCAATAAAAGCTCCTTTTGGAACAACTGCAATTTCAAGAGTCCTGTTTTCTTGGGAAGATGGAGAGGCAAGACCTTACAGACACTGCTATCTATCCTATTAATGGATAGAGTGGAATTTTCCAAAGTACATTCTCCCTTATTTGGCTTACAAAATAAGTGAATGAGAAAGCAGAATTATATTTGCACAATTTCATATAGAATATCCTCAAATGTCTGAATGTTGAACTTAACTGCCTAAATGTTTGCTTAACATAAACCCCTTTATATTTACTAAATGACTTGTCTCTATCAATTGAGTTCAAAATTATGTAATGTTTCACACTACCTGTAGTAGTCTGTCATATGGCTTCAAACCACCTACATCTCCAGGTCCATCTGGCCGAATATTTTTAACATATACACCTTTTTCCAATAAGCCATCAGAGACACTGAATCCGAAGTCCTCCATATTAGAATCCTTGTATAAAGTTATCTGATAAGGGATAAGGAAATTCCTCATGATTTTGTTAAAATTCAGAAATATTTTTCTTTCCACATTTTCTCATAGGCTAAGCATGAGCAATAATTTCTTTCTGGTATTCTCCACTTATTTCCCTTCCTTGACCCTTTTCAATATATTAATGAAAAAAATCATGTTAATGGGAAAAAAAATTGCATCAAGATCTAGAATACTTAGGGAAGATTATACCAAGATTATAAATTACTTGACTTTAATTTGGTAAGTTGTAGAAGAGAACAAGTCTTTGCAGATTAATCTTATATCATTTTTGAAATCAGAAAACTTCTTTGCTAGATTGGGGGAGTACCATATGCTGCAAAACAGCTGACATACTATGAGTATGAGTACAGTGTCATGGCAAATGCATGGCTGACTCAAAATACAAATTCACCATATTTCTCATGTAACTGGAGTAAAGAATTGAATGAGTAGTACAAAATTTATCCTGAATACATTTTTATTGACTTTCAGATGGTAAAAAATAGCAGATAGTTAACACTCTGGAATAAGATTCAAAATCGTATTAATATATTATAGAGATGAGCTGAACATATCAATGAAATTAACACAGAAACACAAAATTCTACATAGATATAGCATTGACATATATTGGTAATAGTACTTGTGAAAACATCTTGGAATAGTAATTTATTGAATACTTTTTATTACAACGAATCACCAGTTTGATGTGGCTATAAAAGGAAAGCACATCAACAGAAGTATAATTTTTAAATCATTAGAAGTATTCCACTATATTCTATTTAGCTGGACTCAACCTACAGTATTGTATCCTGGGCATCATACTTTAAGAAGCATCGGCAAAAATAGAAAAGGTTCAGAAAAGGATCATTAGACAAAAAATAAATCTTAGTAATATAATAAAAAGAGTTCAATATATTTATCCCTAAGGAAATGTAACTGAGAGTTGATATGATTGTACCCTTTAAATAGCTGAAAAGATATGATGTAGAAAATCAAACCCTATTTCTTTTCTTCCAGAGTTCAGGTCACAGAGTAATGGATGTAAGTTGCAAGAAAACATATTCCAACAGTATGCTAGGGAAAAAAAACATCCTGGCAGTTGCAGCAATTTGATGATGGAATCAATTATTGAAAGAAGAGGTAGGCTACCTTTCATGGGATGAGTAGAAGTGAATGCCAGGCAGCCACCTCCTGGAGATACTATGACTTAGATTCCAATAGTGATCCAAATGGCCCCTTTCAACCTTGTGAGTCTAAAAGGATCATATTTTCAAGAAAAAGATAGCTGATGCTATTGCTTTGTTGTGGAGTCTCTGTTACCACCATCTTATATCAGCACAAGCAAACATTTACTTTGCTACATTACAATAGGGTGGGAAATCTTCCTTTAAGTACAGTCTCTTGCTATGGCTGAAATCAGGGTTTATCAGATATGGAGAAAGCTGGAATCATAAATTAAGCTCAGCTTTAAACAACATTCGGTTTGTTTAAAAGATAGCTATAATTTCCTGTCTTAACCATAACAGGAAGTTATGCTTTACAGACGTTTTTCTACCTTATTGCAATGTAGCAAGAAAAGAAGCATCTTTATGATAATTTTGATGGTTGGAATAATATACTGCAAAATTCTACACTAACATAAATGTCAAGCATTCTCTTCCATATTCTTTCTGACTAGAGCAGGGGTCCCCAACCTGTGGGTTGCAACGCACTCATGGGACATGAAGGGATTGCAAAAAGGGCTGCAGAAATGGCCAATGAGCACACACACACATCTATCCTCACTTGCACGAGGATGCATGAGCACAGTGATGGGATTCAAATTTTTTAACAACCGGTTCTCTGCCCTAATGACTGGCTGGGTGGGCGTGGCTTGGTGGTCAGGTGCCTGGATGGGTGTGGCCAACTCAACAACACTCATGTCAAGGGATGCCTTGCCTGGCTCCTCCCCTCCCAGCCATTCCTTGTCATGCCTGGCCTCAACATATCTAGAGTTCTGTAAAAATGTTGTTCACCTTTTTTCGACTTTATTATCTGCATCTACATACTATAGATGTAATTTCATGGACCACTGAAAGGAGGAAATAGCTCACATGCTTTGCCCAAGAGTGTGATAGGCAGGTCACAAAACAGGCTTTTGAGGGGCTGCCACAAAGAAGGGGGGGCAATGTATTTTCCAAAGCAGCAGAAGGCAAAACAAGAAGCAACGGATGGAAATTGAACAAAGAGAGAAGCAACCTAAAATTAAGGAGAAACTTTCTGACAGTGAGAACAATGAACCAATGGAACTGCTTGTCTCTAGAAGTTCTGGGTCTCGATCACTGGAAGTTTTTCAGAAAAGACTGGGCAGCCATTTCTCTGAAATGGTATAGGGTCCCCCCCCTCGAAGTCCCTTCTAAGTGTTATTCTGTTATTCTGACACCTTTCCCAGGCCCTCCGCTCAGATTTTGGCATCCTCAGTTTTCCTGCCTGAGCAGGGGGTTGGACTAGAAGACCTCTAAAGTCCCTTTCAACTCTGTTATTCTGTTATTCCTGAGCTAAATAGCTAAGACCCTCATTGGGATCCTAACTCTTTTGCTCCCTCTGGACTAATGAGTTAAAGAGCTGTCTCTAGACGTTCATTTTAATAAGATCTTTAGAAACCTGCAGTTGAAAGTTCTTCATGTCTCCTTACCCTGAAGACCCAATTTCATTTGGAATTTAATCCCAGAATGATTGCCCTTTTGGCATTTGGCACTTCTCCAAAATGCGCCCACAAGAAGCCTCATCTCTCCCCCCCCTCTCTCTCTCACACACACACACACAGACACACACTTTAAAATCAGGCTAGAAGGTACCTTGGAGGTCTTCTAGTTCAATCTTCTGCTCAGTGCAGAACACCTCATACATACTTGCGGGTTCTCAGACATCCCAGCTTTGGCTACAAGAACTGCAGGCAGCCTTCCCGGCCACACAGTGCCTCCTCCCGCTGCCTGATGCAAGGTGGGAGGCCTGAGAGAAAGCACCTGGTCTGGGCACACAGCCTTGTTGGAGTGCTGTTGCCGGCGGGCGCTAGTCCCATTGGGATCTGAAGGGCAGGGCACTCGGGCTGGCAGAGGCACATGGAAAGTGGAGCTCCTTGAGGCCTTCAGGACAGATCAGGTTGTCCAAGGCTTTGCTCCTCAGGAGCGCTCCGTCATGGAGGGCTGTGTGCCCAGACCAGATGCTTTCTCTCCGGCCTTGAGAAGCGGTAGGAGGCAGAGGAGAGAAATAGATTGAGGTTGAGAGAAACGATAGGAAGCAGAGGGAGAGAAACAGACTGAGGCCGAGAGAAGCGGTAGGAGGTGGAGGGTGAGAGAAACAGGAGCTTTGGAGACGAGCAGCCTTCCCAGCCCTGCTTCCCCGAAGGGGTGACCGGCCACGCTTACCTCTGCCTCAAGGCTTCTGCTGCTGAAGCGAGCGGGAGCAGGCTGAGGCAGCTGGGCGAGTCTAGTCTAGGCAAGTGGGGAGGAGCAGAGATCGGTGAAGGAAGGCAGTTGAGGCAGAGAGCTGGGGCATGGCAGCCACATGGTAGGCCACGGCGGAAGGCAGGCAAGCTGGCTGGGCCACGTGGGAGGCAGCTAGGCTGGGATTTGAGCCTTGCTCGCAGGCTCACCAGGCAGATCAGGGCCGCTCATCTGGGCTGTGGGGAGAGTGCCGCGTGGGATGCAGCCGCGGCAGCAAAGGCAGGCAAGCTGGCTGGCCCACGGAGATTGTGTGGTCGAGGCAAGCGAGGGAGCCAGACAGAGAGCAGTAGCAGCTATATCGGGCGAGATGAGACTGGGCAGGGTGGGGCGGAGTGGGGCTAGCCAGTGGTGGGATTTGCCAGTTCGCCAAACTGCACAGAATCTTAACAACTGGTTTGCCTGAACCAATCCGAGCCAGCTGAAGCCCACCTCTGAGTGAACATGTGCACACAAGCTCCATTTGCGTGAGCAGCAGGCTGCTTCTGTGGAACCATTCCCTTCTTTCCTGTGGGAGCTCTGGATTAAAATATGCATCTTGGATAGGTCCCTTCCCACTTTGAATACAGAAATATCTTTTCCATAGGAATTGTAATTCTTTGATGGAGATGTGCATTTCAGAAATATAAAATATAAATGAATAAATATTTGGTTGCACGCTGAGCTTATATGCCGTTAAAATAATATGAATGTCAGAGCATTTAAATCAATTTCAGCTGTTGGTATGTTTATCCATTTAATTATTTTACCTGAAGTATCTCTGTAGGCATTTAAGAATGGGGAGTATATTTGTTGAAGCAGCACATTGGAAAACAAATAATACACAACTCAGAGAAAATACTGAACACTGGTTCAAAGGGCTAATTTAATATGCCCTTTGATTATATTGGATATATTCTTACGATTAGTATAAGCTGAATACTACCAGAATAGTAGCATAAAAACTATTATTCACCCACAACATTTATTGCAGAATTGAAAATGTTGCACTGCTCTATGTTGTGCTGCTTTACTTCACAGAAGAAGAAGAAAGTCAAAACAGTTAGTCTCTCCTTCCCTCCCTCTTTGTCTTTCTCTCATCCTTAATCTCTGTGTCCTGGAAAGGAATATTTTTTTTGGGGGGGGGGGGAAAAGGGGGGGGGGGTGAGGTTGCAAACTTCCATCACCATGTGCAATACCTAAGTCAAATATGGGATCAACATGTTTAATCAACTAACCAATTTTCTCTTTATTTTAATTTGCATGCTTCATAATGAACAATTATGTGACCTTGCTGGGGAAATATCTGGAGTGAAATACATCCACAGCTACATTTAGAGGGGAAAAACCTGCATTTGCCTGCCTGCCTATCTATTTATATGTAGTCCTGGACTTATAACAGTTCGCTAGTGACCATTTGAAATTACAATATCACTGAAAAAAGTAACTTATAACCTTCACACTTATGACCATTGCAGCATCCCCATGGTCATGTGATCAAAATTCAGCCGCTTGGCAACTGGTTCATATTTATGACAGTTGCAGCCTCCCGGGGTCATGTTGTGACCCTCTGACAAGCAAAGTCAATGGGGAAGCCAAAGTCACTTAACAACCGTGTTACTAACTTAATTGCAATGATTCACTTAGCAAGAAAGATTGTAAAATGGAGCAAAACTCACTTAACAAATATCTTGCTTAGCAACAGAAATTTTTGGGCTCTATTATGGTCGTAACTCAAGGACTACTTGTATCTATTTTATAGAGCTACCCATTTCATCTAATAATTCCAGGTCACTCACCAAAAAAATGTCAAAACAGGGTAATATAAAGAAAATCTTTTCAATTTTCTTAATATTCAGTTACTTGATTGGATGACATACAGATGACCATCAATATAAAATATTCAAGACAGGATACATTTCATGCAAAATCTATCCATTAAAATGGATGTGATGTTTGTGAATGAGAGTGTAAAACTTTTTTGCAGCATTTGCAGAGATATCATCAGGTGAGCAGTTTCTTTGCAGTTCTTCATAATGCAGAGCTTAGCCAGAAGGTGAAATCAAAAAGCCACTACCTTGTGTAACTCCACAGGAGTTGGGGACATGATTTCTTTCATCTCTTGCTTCATTTTCCTAAGGGCTATGGACTTCCTCCCCACATCTGAAGGCAATGTGTTGCTTCGAGTGGTCTGGCTATAATGTGGCCTCGAAGTACTTCTTTCCTGAAAGCTGGCTTGTCTTCCTAGATGGCTGCGAACTTGAGAGTTATCATGATTCAGGCTCACTGTACTCCCTGACATAATTGTAGCCTGCAGCATTAATAAACAGGTTGTAAAAATATAATACATAACATAATAAAGAAGGTATATTCCTAATGAAAAGTAGCATATTTTTCTGCTATTATTGTCAAAATACGGTTGCTCAGGGCAAGCAAATGGCTTGGAGAATAGATGAACAATCTGACTAGGAAATTGGGGAAGATCCCTGAGATTCTCCAGTGGATCAGTATAAAAGTATATAAAGTTTTATTAGAAGTGTTTAGTGGAACTTTTCCAGACTATACCTAAACGCACATATACACACAGAGAGACATCATGATGTTCTCCTCTTTTGGAGTAGCCAAAATTATGCACAGTAGCAGAAGTAGAGTAAGACAGAGTAAGGCAAAGAAAAGAAGTCATGATTTAAGAAAAATAAAAGGAAATACAGCTGTATCTAGTTTACACCAACACACACATACTATTTCATACAGTCTTTTTTAATTTTTTAAAAATCATCTTCTTTTGAAGAACACTATCCAACTACAATTTTCTCAATATTTCCTTTTTTTTCTGATCCATACACACTTCCTTCATATATTTGCTTGGCAATTGGATCCTCATTCAGTCTCTCTAACCAGCCATAAGCTTGTTCTATACTGTTCATTCATTTTTAAATTCAGGTCACGTTTGTGGGCATCCATTCATTTGTACCCCTTTTCAGTTTGTTTTACCATACCTGCTTCTTAAGTACAACATCAGAGAACTTCCTCTGTCCCATCAAGTAGCATGACATAATGAATGCCAGTGCTCACTTTGCCCAATTGTACAGCCTTGACAACAGCTACAAAAGATGGTGTTCCATAACCAGGTCTTATGCCATGAAGGCTTCATAGATGATAACTAATTCTTTGAATTGCACCAGAAAGAATTCTGGTAACTGGTAATTCAAGAAGGAAAAAAAAAACATTACATGGGCCTAATAAGGCATACAAATAATTGCTGTTGCATTCTGGATCAGCTGCAGCTTCTAAGTAGGTTTTCAAGGGCAGCATTATGTAGAATACTTTGTGGTAGGACATGCACAAGACAATCAAACCACAAGTGATTTTCTGACCACATGGACTCCTGTTCCATGTAACAAAGGAAATGGTTCTGAAGATAGATTTACATAAAGGCCTTTTTTGTCTCATTGCCACCTGCTCCTTGAACAGTAACTGTGAGTCCAAGAAGATCCCTCAATTGTTCACCAGTTCTTTGGGCGATGCTGGTGCTGGTGGTCTGTCATTCCAAAGAAGATTAAATATGAAATACCTCCAGTTTGGGGTGTGTATGTGTCCAAAACCTCAATCTTACTGGGGTGTGTATGTGTCCAAAACCTAACTACTCAATCTTGGCAGCGTTAAGCTTTAGCTTGTTCCTCCTCCATAGCCTGCCGACATGCATCCAAGACGTTGGCAGCATCACCATTCACACTGCATTTAAATTACTTTTATGTTTCACCTGACATATCAAATTCTCACTTCAACATAGCAATGTGGACAGAAACACACTCCTATAGATAGTCAACTTTGCTTCCTTTGCTAAACCTTTGGTTATCATAATGCATAACACATTTGTAATCTTAAATTTCTATATAATTCCCACACATTTATCTATTTACCCTATTTACATATAATTTGCAATCATTTGCCCCTTTTCTCCAACAAACACAACTACTTTGCTTTCAATATTTTAATTTTCAGAGCTATGAACCCAAATCATTTGGGTTTTCAGTCCACAGCACAGCACTGATTGTATACAAAGGAACATGCTGATTTTGTACAACCAACACTCATCCTATATTTAAAAATCACAAACATGACTTTAAATTTATTCATTAATTCATTAACAACCAAGAAGACATTGGAGTCTTACTCCTTGCTCAGTGCTAAATCATTCACTAAAATTTTCACCTATGCTACCCTTTCATTATATACTGCTTTAACTGTATTTAGCAAGCAATGTTCTCATTACATATATAAAGATGTATTTTTATTTCCAGTATTTCTTCTGGTTCATAATAAAGCAATAATTTTAGGGTTTAAATTAATTTTTTTTAAAAAATGTTTTAGTTTCTGACATATTATTTAAGCATTTTTCCTTACTACCAAAATAATAATTTAAAAAAAACATTAGATCTACTTTGAGAGGAATGAAAGTTAAGGTTAGACTGATAGGAAACAATTAATTTGCAAAACTGTCCTTAAGATTGAAATATAAGTAAGATAATACCTATACCCAATTAATTTCACTTTTTAAAAGGCTTCTTAAATGAAAAAAATTCTCAACATTGAAATATTCATTCTATTTCCATATCCATTTGCTATGCTCTTAGGAAGAAAATCCATAAGAGAAGCTTGAGCTACATGCCTTAGGCCGAACTAAACCAAACTGACAAGCCATTTCTCCAAAGTACTCAGAATGTCAATTAAATATAAAACATATCCACATTAAAATAACAGGCATGCAATATGGAAGCTACAGATCTGAGGCTATGCAGTCAACTTGAGTAGCATGATTTTTATTTTGTCAATGCCATTCACATTCATTGTGATGACTCTCTGATTTCCATATGACATAACGATGAAACGAGACTTTTACCATTTTGCAACATTGGGAATTTAAAAGAACATAAAAGAAAATTCTTGCAGATACACCCTTCTAAAGAATTAAACTAAGAATATTAATTTTTGTTGTAATTAAGGAATATAGGTAGTTCTCGACTTATAATAGTTCATTTAGTGACCTTCAAAGTTACAATGGCACTGAAAAAAGTGACTTATGAAAGTTTTTCACACTTACAACTATTGCAGCATCCGCATGGTCACATAATCAAAATTCAGATGCTTGACAACTGATTCATATTTATGATGGTTGCAATGTCCCAGGGTCATGTGATCACCTTTTGTGACCTGCTGATAAGCAAAGTCAATTGGGAAGCCAGGTTCACTTAACAACTGTGTTACTAACTTAATAACTGCAGTGATTCACTTAACAACCGTGGCAAGAAAGGTAGTAAAATGGAGCAAAGCTCATTTAACAAATGTCTTGCTTAGCATCAGAAATTTTGGGCTCAATTGTGGTAAGTTGAGAACTACCTGTATGGCCAAGTTTTTTTTTAAAGTTTCTAATTATTCTGCTTTTGAAGTAAAATAACTGAGTGCAAAGTGAATATGGCATATGTAATTGCGATTAACATCAGATTGCAACAGCAAAAAAAATAAATAAAATCCCACGGAATATACAAATCTTTTGTAGCTATATTAGTTCATGTGGTGAATCTAATTGTAAAAATGTGTGGAAATTTTGTTTTCGTTTATGTTCCCTATAATTCAAATTCAGTTCTGTTGCAAGAGATACATGCCAGGAAAACTTTTATAAAAGCAGCTAGAAGATAATGGGATGTGTGCTGTTAAAGCAAAGTAAGCCTGCAAACAAATGCAGCCAGAAGTAGCACAGGAGAAGCTTTTGCTCACACACATTTCAGCAGCAGATCCATGGAAGATAATTGCTTGATTGGGGGTTAGCAAAGGCAGCTATGCAAGCAAAAATATAAACACTAAAGGGTAAGTACCAAGAGAGCCATGTTTCTCAAATACAGACGCCTGTCAACCTTGTCCTGTGGAGAGGGGTTAAAGCTTTAAAATGATTTTGTGAGATTAATGCAAACTTAGAAAAAAGGAGGGGAAAAACCCAACAAAAATTAGTGTTAATTGAAAAAAGAAATTAGTCTATTATGAAGGAGTAGATTGCTTCTACCTCTAATTCCCTCAGAATTCCTGACTGTCCACAAGTCTCCAAATCTTCCAGTGCTTGGGACCAGAAGTTTTCCTCCTGATCAGGCTCAGGGACACCTGTAAAGCTGGATTCAGAGAAAGGTTTCTAAAGTTATAGAGAATATCACAATGAGCTTCACAGGAAATGCTTGCAATGCAAAGTAACAAAAAGTATGTTCAGGTGTGAGCTAGACAACAAGGCACAGGAGACACAGCTGATGAACTGGGCTGTGGAATGACTGGTATAAGAATTTATATAAACTCTCCCTCTCTGTTTTTCTCTCTCTTTCTCTCTGTCTCCAATTATACAGATGTGAAATATAAAATGAGTAACAATATCTTGCTAGACAAATAGATAATTATCAGATATCCAAAAATATAATGCCTCTGGTTTGCTTTTCTTTTGGGCAGTCACTTTCACTGCTTTTATTCTTAGCATTCTTTCATTCTACCTGCTATAAATTGTGGAGTTAGACGCATGCAGAAAATTATGAAGATAAGGAAAGATGCAAAGCCATCTTTGAGGTGGCAGACATTTGAGCAATTATAAATGCTTTGTTGAGTCAGGAATGCTACATCTCCTACTCAAGCATCTGTCATTCAATATGTTAAGGTTTGGATAATTTTATCTTTAACCTTCCTTTCAAGGAAGATTGTGGAGAAAGTGGTGGTCTTGCAAGTTCACGAAGCCCTACAGAAAGTAGAATGTTCAAACTCTTGGCAGTCAGGTTTCAGGCCAGGTTACAGAATGGAGACTGCATTTTTTGCACTTATGGATGACCATTGGAAAAGCTAAGATCATCAAGTATAACTTTCTTGGTCCTCCTTGACTTCTTATGGCATTTAGTATCACAGAGCTTGGTATTCTTCTGGACCATCTCCAAAAGATTGGAGTGGGAGGTATTGCATGCGCAGAAGCATTCTGATGACGTCGGGGTCGGTGGGCGGAGCCTCCTGCCGGTTTTACTACCAGTTCTATAGAACCGGTGCGAACCGGGGGCAACCCACCACTGACATCACCCCTTTTCATTAAACTAGACATACCCAATTCCAGCAATTGTTCTTTATATGTTTTAGCCTCCAGTCCCCTAATCAACTTTGTTGCTCTTCTCTGTACTCTTTTTAGAGTCTCAACATGTTTTGCATCATGGCGACCAAAACTGGATGCAGTATTCCAAGTGTGACCTTACCAAGACATTATAAAGTGGTATTAAAACTTCACGTGATCTTGATTCTATCCCTCTGTTTATGAACTATGTTGGATTTTTTGGCAACTGCAGCACACTGCTGGTTCATATTTAAATGATTGTCCACTAGAAATCCAAGGTCCCTCTCACAGTTACTACTATTGAGCGAGGTACCACCTATACTGTAGCTGTGTATTTTAGTTTTCTTGCCTAAGTATAGAACCTTACTTTTTTCACCATTGAATTTTATTTTGTTAGATAGCGCCCAATGTTCAAGTCTGTCAAGATTCTTCTGTATCTTAAGCCTATCTTCTGGAGTATTGTCTATTCCTGCCAGTTTGGTGTCATCTGCAAATTTGATCATCCAAATCATTGATGAAGATGTTGAAGAGTACTGGGCCTAAAACAGAGCCTTGGAGTACCCCACTGCATACTGCCCTTCATGTAGATGCAGTTCTATTGAGGACAACACATTGAGTGTGTTTGGTCAGCCAGTTACAAATCCATCTGGTAATGATGCGGTCTAACCCACATTTTTCTGTCTTATCAAGTAGTAGGTTGTGGTCTACTTTATCAAATGCCTTACTGAAGCCCAAATAAATTATATCCACAGCATTCCTCTGGTCCACTAATTTTGTCACTTTGTCAAGTAATGCAATAAGATTTGTCTGGTATGACCTGTTTTTGACAAACACATGTTGACTTTTGATTATTACTTTGTTTGCCTCTAGGTATTTCCTGATAGGTCTGTAGTTTCCTGCATCTATTTTTTTTTCCTTTTTTGAAAATGGGAACTACATCAGCTCTTTTCCAGTCCTCTGGTAGTTCCCCAGTGCTCCAGGATCTTGAAAAGATATAGTTCAGTGGTTCTGAGATCATGTCTGACGGTTCTTCAGAACCTTGGGGTGTAATCTATCTGGTCCTGGTGATTTGAACTTGTCTAGGGTGGACAGATGCTCACTTACTGTTTTCTTCCATATTTTAACTTGTGTTCCTAATCTGTTTTTTACGGTGCTGTTTTTGATAGGTTGGACTGTTTTTTCCCTTTGTGTAAAGACAGATGCAAAAAACGAGTTAAGTAGTTCTGCTTTCTCCCTGTTGCTTGTCACCTTCTTGCCACTTTCTCCCAGCAATGGACCAATCATTTTCTTAACTTTTTTCTTGTTTTTAACATGTTTTATTCCATTGGTATTCCAATGGTATGAGGCTTGGTGTCATCAATATATGGATTATAACCAGCTTCACATCTTAATCCTGGGAAATGCTATGCTAGAAGTGCTGATCCAAAGCCTGGAAGTTATCAGGTTCTTGATGGAGAAGAACATACGCCAATGGAATCCCTCCAAATCTGTGTTGCTTTGGGTTCATGGATCTAACAATTCCAGGTAAATTCTATTGTTGATTCTGAGTATGGATGCCTGCATTTGGACTTTCTCCTAGCATCCTAGCTAGAACATCTTTTGTATGGCTATATCTTGTGCCCCAATTATGATCATTCTGGACCAGAAGTCCTGTGCAGAGTCATTCATGTTGGTATTATTATAAGGAACTGCTCTTAAAGAGCATTTGAAAATTGCACCTAGCACAGAAAGTAGCAATCTGAGCTGTAATGGGTGAATTTGAGATCTTGTCAGTCAGCTTCCAACTGTGATTTACAGGGCTGGTTGTCACCTTTAAGGCCCTACATAGAGTTCAACTAACAACATGTATGGTTAACTCCATCCAGGTTTTGTCTATATGGGACTGTCACATGGTATGGCCTCAGAAAAGGACATTTTCACTAGCTGCTCCTATTCTTTAGAACCCCTTTGGACAGAGTCCTAATCAGCATTGTCTCTCTTCGGCTTCAGGAAAATACTGAAGACTTACCTGTTCTGCGTGGCACAGGAAGATGGTATATTATAACTGAAGGTGGGGTCTGCAGTTCAATGATACTTATATTATCTACTTCAAAAATCTTTTTTATTTTTCCACTCCTTATATGCATTTGGGGATTCTTGTTTTACTATATGTTGACACTATTAGCTGTTCTGGGTCTCTTTAGGATTCAGCAGCATAAAAGTAGAATAAATAAATGTGCTCAAAATTGAACTCCATTAAGCAGGAACAAATTCTAGGGAGATGACCATCATCTTGTAAAAATATTTAGGATTTATTTCATTTCAATTTGCAATTTTTCAAGTAGACACAGTTCCTTGTACTATGATTTTCTTCACCTGTAGGCTAGTTCTATGCTCCATCTGTCCTTCAGTTAGCTGAGGATGTGAATATAATTAGATTTGAGATGCTAACCTAAAGATTTGAACAGAAACGAGATGGTATCTTCTGTCTTAGAGGCATTGGTTTCTTACCTTCTGAAGAAGACATCATTTGCTCCAATAGTGTGGACTATCCCAGCCTACTCTCCACTCCTCCTCTTTAAGGAAGATTTTAGAGGAAGTGATTGGATTTCAATTGCAGAAAATTTTAGATGAAGAGGATGATTTTGATCTCTTCTAGTCAGATGCCAAATCTGGGTAAGGTATGGAAATTGCAATGCATGCCTTTTGGACTTGTTTTTAATTTTGCTATTTGACCTTAATTAGATTTATGTTTTTATGAATGCATGTAAGTAAGCTAGTTAACATCTAGTGGGTTAGAGTGGTATAGACATGAAATAATAAATAGCTACTTGGTAATGGCATTGGAATAAATGCCAGGATTAGTTAGTAAATGCCTGGTTTACTTCTATTTGTCAAGAGTTTGGATCTGACACAAAAGAGTTTGTCATCACCAGCAGAAATTATATACGAATCCCAAAATTACAAGAAGTACAGTTCTTATAGTTCGTTAATTTATTATTAATATCAACATTTCCTATGTTTAACTATGCTGATTAGGCTATAATGGGGAAATTAGCAATAGTGATGTATATGTAAAAGTTAAAGCAATATAGGAGTGGGGAAACAGCAGAAGTGTCTAATAGAATTTTGAATATGTATTAAGAAAGATGACAATTAGAACACAGAAATCTTTTTACATAGACCTAAATTATATCTAATCTATGGCAAAATAGCCAAATCATATGGGCAGAAGCACTAAATCACTCTTGATATTTTTTTTCCTCAGATGGGCTTAATTCTCAGTTGAAGTTATGTTAGAAGAAACCTAGCTAGGAGAAAATATCCTGGTGGAAGAGGCTGCATTACAAAATGTTAGATATTGGGGTTGGTTCAGGACCTTGAATTGTAAATCCTTCTGTCACTGTCATATAGACAGCCATTTTGGTATAGTGTTAAAGGCAGTAGGGTAGAAACCAGGAGACCATAAGTTCTAATGCTCCTTTAGGTATGAAAGCAGCTGAGTGACTTTGTCCATGTTACTCTCTCATAGTCCTAGGAAGAAGGCACGGGAAAACCACTTTTGGAAAATCTTGCCAAGAAAACTGCACAGACCTATCCATGTAGTCACCAGGAGTTAATACCGACTTAAAGGCCACATACATTGATATATAAATGGAACAGATTCATATTTAAAGATATGACTCTGCTACAGGGGTGAAATGTTCTGAAGTCTGCTACCGTTTTGCTTTGTGTGTGCATGTGTGCAAAGCGAACTGGTAAAAAAAAAGTAAAAAAAAAATGTTCCGACGATCAGCTCTGCGACAATCAGCTGTACCACACGATCGTCGGAACTTTTTTTTTAACTTTTTAAAGCATTTTTTTACTATCAGTTCCGGCGAACCGGTAGTAAAAAAATGCTTAAAAAGTAAAAAAAAAAAAAAGTTCCGATGATCAGTTGTGTGACAATCAGCTGTGCTGCGTGATCATCGGAACTTTTTTAAAAACTTTTTTAAAGCATTTTTTACTACCGGTTCGGGCGAATTGGCCCGAACCGGTAGCATTTCACCCCTGCATCATGGGAATACTGGTTCAAGAGACCCCCATGCATTTATCTTAACAAAATAGAAGTCAAAGCTTGAATATAAATTTGTCCAAATCAGGTGTTTAAGTAAGGTTAATTAAACTTCTAGCTGGTGATGATAAATGTCTTAAAAGTGATATACTATCACTACTAACATTTAAAAATTGAGATCACATCAAAAATATACCCCTTAGAAAATTGTAGCACTGAAGTCAAAGTAGCCATATCTTTTAGTTGTCTCTCTGTGTGTCCCTTCTTCACAGTATGATATCACAGTATCATATTTATTGATTTATGTGGAAACCACAGTGAAACCTCTAAGTACTAAAAGATGAGTCTCTGAATGATCCATCAAACGTAATGAAGACAGGAGACAGGAAATGGAAACTAAAACTTCCTTCAATACCCGGAGCTCTTTTCAGTTTTGAATTAATATTAACAGTTAATGACCAATACTATTACACATAAAGGTTCACCAACTGTACATGGCTTGCTGTCAGCCTTATCAAATGTCTTAAATATTACTAATCTCATATAACATGAATTGTCAATATATCTCAGCAACTTGAGGACAAATTGGCAACTGAGCATTTTGAAGTCCTTGGCAATCTGTGATAGGTCTGTTCAGTACTTTAGTTTCGAAGACAGAAAAGGTGCTTTGGGGGAAGGCAAATGCTGCATCTACCTGAAACTCTGAAGTGGATGTACCTCTTCTAGAGTTGCAAACAGGTTTGCAACTCTAAAAAGCACCCACATGCCTCCATATCTGAAGTTTTGAACTGTCCTAAAAAGTACATCAATACAAGAACATGTTACTATGTGTAGTAAATAATTCAGTATGTAGCACAGTACTTACCTATTTTCTACTGGTTTATCCCAGTCATCATCACTTAATCCTGTATCATGGAAGGAGTTGATTCGGGGCCTATTCAAAGGAGATAAACTACCCTTTTGTTTTGGACTTCTCCATTCAAAGGTATTGAAGTTGTATCCTGAAGCCTGATAATTGGGACCTAAAAAAGTAACCATATGTTCATTACAGTTGACTATGCAAAATAAAATAAAAAATGCAATGTCAAATTATTCTTCCAAACATTGTATGATTTAAGCTATTATTTATTGTATCAAATATATGTGGATTATAAATATCAGCTAGAATTAATTTGTAGTTATATGCCTGAACTCTCTTGGAAGGGCATACTGAAATTATGTTATACTTTTTAAAACAATCTTATTATGAACCACGTGATATGTTTCCATTTAAGGCTATGTTGATTGCTCTCATTTCTGCACGTCGAACACAATACTACTGAGAAATCAATGCTATTTGAAATCTATTCATCATATAGAAAGTATGGGGAACTTTTATGGGAGCCACAATCAGCTCGACCAGAAGGAAAATGACAGGCAATATTACCAGAAGTGGTGGGGACCTTCCCTTCCCTTCATGGAAAATCTCTGCGAGCAAATCACCTCACTTTCTACACTTCTGGAATGACCCAAAATATAATTTAAAGTCCTGATGGTGCTAGTGGTTTAAGGATGGGAGAGATTTGCCTCTTAAAGGCCACTTACTCTAATTTCTTCTTATTTTTTTTTTAAAGGAAAAGATTATCCTGCCAACAGTAATCTATCTTGCAATTTCAAGGTACTACAGCAACACAAATTGATTGAGGATTGTCTATCTTGATCTATTTATGGGGTTTATTACTGTATGGAATAGCCAGAGACATACACTTTATTTATTTAGTTCTAGGCAGCTTGGACTAAATACAGTATATAGTTTATGGTACTTAGTCTGATTGTTCTAGTAGAGCCTTCATTCCCCAAGTAACTTCTTTTTTCTGTTGTTTCCAATTTCTTTGTTATTATATTGCTCCTCCTATTCCTATTCACTCATTAGAATCAAATTTCATTACATTTCTATTCCTAGAAGTGTTTTGCCTGGATGATGTTCAGTGTTATATCACATCATTCAGAGATGTTTCTGCTATTTTGCTGGCAACAAGTTCAAGTCCTTTAAATATAGGACTTTTAATTATCACTTGTTCAGTGACTATTCAAAGTTGCAATCATGTGATACCTATGCCCAGTCCTCAAAGTTCTGGCTATCGCACCATCCACATGTTCATGTGATTGTGATTCTAGCACTTTACAACCAGCTCACACTTAACAATGGTTACAGTGCCTATGGTCATACGGTCTCCATTTGCTACCTTGCCTGCTGGATTTCCACAAGCAAAGTCAATGGGGAAGCTGGCAGGGAAGGTTGCAAGTCACCATGGTAAGTCTCCTGGCTCTAGTGTACTCATGGGAAGTCTTCCTTCCCTGGCATCCATGTGCTTGTGTAGCATCACACCCTCTTTCCTCCAGCCTTCCTGGGCTTTTCTCATCTCCCAGCAACATTCCTCCCCCCCCCCAGCACCCTCTGCTTCTTACCTGCGACTCTTGCTGCTTCCTGCTTAATAATCTGCATGCCTTGGAGCTACAAAAGCAATGGTGACCACATGGATTATCATTGCTAAGTGATGAAGTCACATGATGTCTCACTTTATAACTGCATTGCTTAGCAAAGGCAATCCCAGTCCCAGTTGTTATCATAACCCAAGGACTACCTGTATTACAAATTATATTTCATATTGTTTATATATATAATTCAAACTATAATCTCAGTGTTTTTAAATAGATACTGCTATATTAATTTCTAAACTACATATTTAAAAATTAAATATATCTGTTTGGAAGACAGATCCTATCTTTTATCAGTTTATCAGTGATAATGTTATTAAATTAAATTTGTTTAAACATAGCACTTAGACTTATATACTGCTTCACAGTGCTTTACAGCCTTCTCTAAGTGGTTTACAGAGTCAACATATTGCCCCCAACAATCTGGGTCCTCATTTTACCAAACTCGGAAGGATGGAAGGCTGAGTCAACCTTGAGCTGGTGAGATTTGAACTGCCGAACTGCTGGCAGCCAGCAGTCAGCAGAATTAGCCTGCAATACTGCATTCTAATCACTGGACCATCATGGCTCTGTATTTGTAAATTGCACCTATAAACATGTTTTTAAAAAGCAATATAATTTCTACCGAAATAAAAAAAGGAAATTTATTACTATATTTATACAAAATCAGGGATTTGGCCTCAAAAACAATTAGACATTAAGCTTTTCATTATAGCTGAATGAATGATAATGATGAATATAATGAATAATTATATTCAAATAATTCAAATAATGAAAAGAAATGTGTGAAGCTAAAAAGCAGTGATTTCCCCCCCAAAACCAACCTTTTGACATTTGTTATCTTAATATGTTTTAAAGTCAATATATAAAACAGTGGTTTGATTTTCCATCTAAAAGATTACAATATTTGTACATTTTCAAACCAAGACTTTTAAAGTCTGCATTTCTCTGTTTCAAAATTATGTTGAAGATTTAAATGACAATGGTTAAAATAATAATTAAATCCTAAATGCTAGGTATATTTTTTCTTTTAAAAGAATCTTGCTGCTGTTGAAAACTGTTCTTACTTAGAAAGTCTCTTGACATCTTAATGTCAAAGGGATGAAGGAGAAATAAAAGGGCAATATACCTGTTTAGCTATATGTGAGCTATGATCTAGTCACTGAAACATTAGTAAAACCAGCAGAAAGCTCTTCGTATATTGATATATTTTTAAACCTGTCACAGTGACATGAAATCAAGGTTAGCTGAATACAAGAATTAGCACATTAAAACTGCAATTTTAACGAGATTTCCACAAGACAGTTAAAAGGTGAGTTTGCCTCTCAAACATAACAAGAGGTTTCATAGGTTTACTAGCCTCACTCCTGAGTGTTCCCATACTAAGTACACCAGAATAAACACATGATCCCTACCTTGACTTCCATAACTGTTATCCATTCCAGAGCCATCCCATGATTCTACAGCACTGTCCACACTTGGGACAGTCGTGGAATAGATTTCAGATAGCTTGCCTGGTTTTTGTGTCATGGCTGTATCATCTTCAGCATCACTTAATTCATTTGTATGACCAGAGGCAGAAAATTTATTGGGACTTGATGCTGATAGAAAGGAAGACATGCTATACATTCATTATAAATTTAAATATACATTCATCTTAAGTGCATAGAAAACCATTTTTTCCAATAGAAAGCTTAGACAAACAGACTCTCTCCCATATTAATTATATCTATGGAACAATGGAAAGGCCCTGTCCCTTTATGACTCACAGTTGGCTTGATGGGAGTCAAGGATCTAACAGAGTTGTGTAAGACATTCAAATAAGACATATCACACTACTTGGGAACACAAGCAAAACAACGGTTTAATGGTTTTGGAACCATTAAAGCAGCTGGATCTTTAGCAAGGCTTGTGCAGTAGCTTCAGAATTTCTGTCAAGAATCTCCATATATATGTATGTATGTATGTATGTATGTATGTATGTATGTATGTAGGTAGGTCTTTGGTTATTCGGGTTTTCTCCCGCGTAAAATTGGAGGTTTCTTGGCAACGTTTCGACGAAGTCTCATTCGTCATCTTCAGGCTGGTGTCTTCGGCTTCGTGTTTCTAGGAGCAATGCTAGAATGCTCCTATATATATATATATATATATATATATATAGCCAGCCACTTTGCTTTGATGGGAACAGCCATGGGAAGTTGGCCAGAAGCAGCTATGCACTGTTTCTAAAGCCCATAGCTGCTTCAGAGTTTCAAGTACTTTTTTGGCCTCTGTGCATGGCAAGGAACATTTTTCAAATGCTTTGAACAGTTTTATTTTCTTTGTATTTGTACAAAGAGGAGGTATAATACAGAAAGAACCTGTTTCCATATTGGTTGATCCTGCAGCTTAGTCTGCAGTAGCCAATTCTATTAGAAAAGCAAGCATTTTTAAAAAGGGAACGACATACATTGCTAAGGACAGAACAACTATATTATTTCATTTTTAGAAGTGTTACTAAAATGTTTATATGGCCTCATCCTTTCCACGCACTAATTTTTGAAAATCTTTGTGTGTGTGTGTGTGTGTGTGTGTATGTATATATGTGTATGTCTGCAGCAGCTACCCAGAAACACACACTGTTATTATATTACCTATTTTAATCAACAACAAATGTTGTTAGAGCTTGCAATAAATCATAACTAATATCTATAATTAATATCTGTGTATCAAAAGCAACAATTCACAAAGCCAAAAATTAGTGTGGCATAATGAATACATCTAGATGCCTATCACTGCTAGATAACTGATGACTGGATATTAAGTTTGTAGAATAACAATACTACAAAATACACATTTAAAAAAGTCAGTGGGAACACTGAATAAACTACAAATTCTCCTTGAGCCCCAGATATTTCTAAGTTATTACTAGTTTAACTGTATTTACTCTTGTTAGTAGAGGTTTTTGCTTTTAGAAAATGCATGGTACAAGCAAAATAATATAGAATGATGGGTGAAATCAGTACAAGCAATATGTTCAAATATCTGTTGAGACAGTTTGGAAAGTTAGTAAATACAAGTGTATTAGATAAATATTGAGGACTTAGGTAGCAACAAGCAAGTCCATTATTTTAGATCAATTTATTAATCAGAAACATTTTTTCCATATTCTTTACTGACTGATATCCTGTTACTAGTTCTTACAGCTTGTAAATGTTTTATGTATTCTAGCCTTAATGGGGTGAATCTTCATGCTTTCCTTTATTATTTATTGTTTTATAATTTAGTAAATACTGGAAAAGGCGTATCTTGATTAACTTTATTGTGAATTTTGGGTCCAGTAGACAGATTGAGGTCTGGGCAATTAGACACTCCCAACGTTTGTGTGCTTTCTGAGGGACAGGGCCTTCTGCAGTTCTCCAAAAGCACCCCACTTCCTTTTTTTAAAACAAGGCTTAAAAGAATAACTCATTCCTGTCCTTTTTTTCTTCTTTCTAGGTTGAACATGCACTATATATTTAGGTGCTCTTAACCTTATTCCATCATTGTACCCTTTTCTTTTCTCCCATGTTCTTCAGGAGAAAAACTAACCAGATATCCAAATGAGAGGACCACTGCTTTCTAATGTTGAGTATTACACAAAAATTATAAACAATAAATGGGATTAGCTTTTGGGCAACTCAGTCTCATTGCTTTTGCTGTCTTTTGCAATAAATGCTCTTTTTAAAATTACTAAAATCATCTATTTTTATATAACATGGATTTATTTCTACAGTCCTAAATATCTAATAGGCAAATGTCACTTTCATAAATATATGCACAACACATTCCTGATATAGCAGAAAAGGCATCCGTGGAATACCTGACACACTCACCATCTGTCTGCTTTTTTATTTTCAAGGTCACGGTCTCTCCTGCCATCTGTAACAAATGAATGGCTTCACTCAAAGGTTTCCCTTTCAGACTGTTACTATTTATTGCTAAGATTCGGTCTCCGATATGAATTGCACCTGTCCTGAAACATGAGTTAAAAAAAACATGAAAAACAATCTGAGCAAAGCATTTAACATATAATTTAAGAAAAACATAGTTTCCCCCTGCTTTTATTTTAAAATGTAATTTATGTATGTGTAATAACATTAATTTTACTTTTAAAGATCTTGTCATTATGACTGTAAGCTGATAGCCAACATAGAACCAGCTATCTTTGCACCAGCAAAGAGCTCAGTTTCTTTCAAAGTAATATGCAAACGAAAGTTGCACATTTATTGCGCTTACTATTTTATACTTCCAAAGTCTTAAGAAAATAACTTGATAGATTTTTTGCAGGAAAAAGGAAAATAGAAATAGTAACATGAACAGTTACTTCGTACTTCCAGCTAAACAAAAAACATTAACAAACATCAGTGCATTATATTAAGGGATGCAACTTTTTCACTTCATGATATGTGTTAGCATGGAAGGAATAGCATGGAAGGAATATAACCCATGTTATTGATGTGGACAGAGAGAGAATTAGTAGTAATAATCAGGGTAGTAATACCCCTAATATTATCATGAACCTTATGCATTATAGTCAGCAGGTGCCATATAGTCAGCAGGTGCCATCGCTGACTATTGGGGGTGAATCTTTGCCCCCCACAGAGAGGGCTCGCAATCTGGGTGTCCTCCTGGACACACGGCTGTCTTTAGAAGAGCATATGACGGCCGTGGCCAGGGGGGGGGCTTTTATCAGGTTCGCCTGATCCGCCAGTTGCAGCCCTTTCTGGACCGGGACGCCTTGCGCACAGTCACTCATGCCCTTGTCACCTCCCGGCTGGACTATTGTAATGCTCTCTACATGGGGCTCCCCTTGAAGAGCACTCGGAAGCTCCAACTGGTCCAGAATGCGGCCGCGCGGGTGGTTATGGGCGCAACTCGTTGTGCCCGCGTGACACCCCTCCTGTGCGAGCTGCACTGGCTCCCAGTGGTCTTCCGGGTGCGATTCAAGGTGTTGGTTACCACCTTTAAAGCGCTCCATGGCACAGGACCCAGGTACCTTTGAGACCGTCTTCTGCCACCAATAGCCTCCCACCAACCAGTCCGCTCCCACAGAGAGGGTCTCCTCAGGGTGCCATCAGCCAAGTTATGTCGGCTGGCGACACCCAGGGGGAGGGCCTTCTCTGTGGGAGCCTCAGCCCTGTGGAATGAACTGCCCCCGGAAATATGTAAGATCTCCGACCTCCGGGTGTTTCTCTGTGCATTGAAGACCCTGTTGTTCCGCCAGGCCGGGCTATCAACATAATAATTTTAAATTGGGGTATTTTAAATTTTTGGGGTTTTAAATTGGCCAAATCTATTTTAATTATTTTAATTTTTAATCATTGTTGTGTCTTGTGTTTTTAAATTGGCCTGAGTCCTTCGGGAGAAGGGCGGTATAGAAATAAAATTATTATTATTATTATTATTATTATTATTATTATTATTATTATTATTACAAGCGATTTAATATGGCGTACACTCTGCAGTGTGAAAATGTTATCCTTTCCATTTTGCAGGTGCAGGAGTAGATAGTGTATCTGAACATAGAAGTGGCTTGCTTATGGAGTCACTGTGATCATTTAAAAGATCCGAAAAGAGAGGAAGAACACACTGTTATTAATCCTCAAAACAAAGCAGCAAGAGTGAATGCAAAAACCACTGGAAGATTAGTTTGTTAAATGTGCCTAGAACATGTTTAGCAAAATTCTCATTGCATGCATACGAGAGATGACACTGGGCAAGATTTCGGAACTGCAGTGTGGTCTTAGGTGGGCAGAGGATGTGCAGAACATATTTTTATTCTTTGGCAGAAAAATATAAATGTGAGAAATTTAATGTATATTTGTTGATTTTGAGACAGGGTATAATAACGTGAATTAGGCTTGACATATGGAATGTTTGCATGAGTAACTGAAGATTAGTTGTTGAACCCAGTAAGAGCAGTATATGAGGCAAGTAAAGAATTTATAGAACAGAATGCTTAGTAATAGTTCATTACTGAAGACAGAATAAGAGGATCTTATATCATCTTGGTTGTTCAATGTATTAATAGATGAATGTATAAGAAATGTTTGTAGTGGATAGGACCATGAATGACTGCATACTTATGTACTTTCATATACATTATGTAATATATTGGCTGATAATTAAAATTATTTGCAGACAATTTTGGATATATTGTATGATGCAAAAAGGATTATGAATCTGAAAATTAACGTATTGAATCTCTGATATATAGCAGAAATGAAGAATTGCATTTTACCTAAAATTATGAAAAGATATACAGCAAGTGGATCAATTTATGCTAAATATTTGTTAAAGTTAGGAAAATGGCTATATAAAAGATAATTTTGGCCCACTTCATTATTTGGAAGTAAATTACAGGATAGAAAAATAAATATAAGCTGAATACAGTTGGAATGGAGTACTTAAACAGGGTAAAAAAGAAAAAATTGGGTTGAATTAATGGATGATATAGAAAAAAATGAATGAGGGCCAAATCACAAAAATATATGAAAGAGAAATAAATTGGCCAAGAGAAAGGCGGAAAACTGAGAAAGTCATGTTAGATGGAGTTTAAAAAGGGAGAAATGAAATATGTAAAGAACAAAAGATATGATGTGATATATGGATGTGGTAGAAGCAAGGATGCTTTGCCAGGACAGAAAGGCATATATATTTGCTTCTGTGTGGGGGGGGAGGGGGGGAGGGAGGGAGAGAGGGAGGGAGGGAGAGAGAGAGAGAGAGAGAGAGAGGGAGGGAGGGAGGGAGGGAGGGAGGGAGGGAGGGAACAGGACTAGTGTGATTTAGTTTCCTTTAGTTTTCTTGTCAACTCAGCAAGATATTTGTTTCTTCAGAGATTTTGTACAGAGTCTGATATTGTTTTTGAGTTGAGAGAGAGTGACTGGCTCAAAATCATACAACTGGCTTTTTGCCCAAGGGGAGACTAAAATCTGTGTTTTCTTACTCCTAGTCAAACTCTTTTACCACTGATGGATCTTTAATGATTTATGGTAACAGTAGGTCATGTTCCAAAAGTCATCATCATTGTTGTCATCACATTATCATCACCATCTTCATCTCATAATATATATCAAGAGAAAAAGGCTAAAGGTAATTATTTCATTTATATATATTCCTAAGAATTATTGCATAGGTTGAATGACCTCTTACACTTGAATATTACAAATACTTTTATGTCAATTTACCTTTCAGCTAATCCACCTTTAGTAAGGCTCGAAATGATAATAGGATCAAAAGGCTCTTCAGTACCAGAAATAGTGATCCCAAGAGGTCCTCCATATCTCTTGAGCTCAACAGTATAAATAATTGCTCCTGAGCTCTCTTGTTCATCTGCAATACATGCCAAGAGGATGCAATTGGTCTCTTATAAAAGAAGGAATGAAAAAAAATAATACATTCAGAAAAATGATCAGCATACACATCCTCAAACTGTTATGCTTCAGATACATATCTAGGCTACTACTGCCTTCTATGTTGATGACTACAGGTGAAGTCACAGGCAAACCAGCAAATCGCCTGCCATTTTCGTGGAAGCAAAGCTAGGATTTTAAACCTAATATATCTGTAAAAATGTAAACAATTTCTTTCTAGCTGTGGTGATTCATAATCAGGATGATAATCACATCTAGGTAAAATGGGCCAATGCAGTATCTCAGTAAAAGGTAACTAAGTGCTCTTAAGAAGTTAAAGCAAAGATTTTGAGCCATGGTGGTACAGTGGTTACAATACAGTACTGCAAGCTACTTCTGCTGCCTCCCTGCCGGCTGCCTGCAATTTGGCAGTTTGAATCTCACCAGGCTCAAGGTTCACTCAGCCTTCCATCCTTCCGCGGTCAGTAAAATGAGGACTCAGATTGTTGGGGGCAATATGCTGATGCTGTAAAATCACTTAGAGAGAGCTGTAAAGCACTGTGAAGCAGTATATAAATCTAAGTGCTATTGCTATTTTCCATATACACATCCAAACTCCTTTAGTTCAATTTAATATAAAGCTGAGCCAAATATGTCAGCCATTGCTACTTGAACACCAGTTTTAATTTCAGCATCAGAACTGGACTCAGTTCAGTATCTTTTCTTGTTATTTTGAAAATTGGGATAAAAACAGATTTCAGACCAATGGGTTCCAACAATAATCCTGATACAGTTAGGATAAGAATCTTTGTTAGTGTTTGTTTCTCTTAATTATCTATATCAGCGCTTCTGGTTCATATATGATTTGAAAATGCTTTACAATTCTTTTTATCTAGGGTAGGAAGAATACAATTAAGATGAATTTAATTCAGATATTGATTTCTATTTTTATTAATTTTTCCATTCCATCTTGTTATTTCACTGTGTTGAGTGCCTTCATGTATGTATCTAGTGTATAGGTGTTTGCAAAAGAAGTCCTTGACTTATGACTGTGAATTATGGAATTATGGTTGTAAGTCATTGTGATTGTTAAGTGGGTCACTACATGACTGGACTTGACTTTATGACATTTTTTGAAGTGGTCATTAAGGGAGCACCACAGTTGTTAAATGAGTGCCATGGTGTTAAGTGAACACTGTGTTTATTAATTTAATTCATTTTATCCAAGAGGTGTTTTTTTCCTGGGAACCAGAAGTAAATGCCAGAAACTGGCAAAAAACATTGAACATTGCATGACCGTGGGATGTTGCAAATAGCCATAAAGGTGAACCAGTTGCCAAGTGCTCAAACTGCAAACACATGACCATGGTGTGTGTGTGTGTGTGTGTGTCTGTCATGTGAAGCTAGTACGATTCTTTACATTTTGACAAGGGAGTTAAATAGTTATGTGTGTATGTTTATACATGTGTATATACGGGGCAGGATCTGAATAAATGTGGTGTCTTCTAAAACAGTTTTTTTAAAAAAATTCTGAAATTCTTGAGACAACATTTTTCAGTATAACATTTCTCTAGTGGTATTGAACTGGCACTGTGATAAATATATATGATCCAAGCAAAGTGACTTTCCTCATTCGTCAGAAATTAATGAGGAGGTTTTATTCTTCCAATCTTTGACAAGACAGGAACATCAAAGCCATTGGCCTGTACTAAATCATCATTCATATTATGAATACTTTCTCCATTTAATATTTTACTTATATTACATCCCAAAGGCATTTTTTATATACATAAAATGTTTCATAGCTCACTGTGAATACCAGAGTTATCTTCATCCTTGCGAATTTTTAGTTTTACAAGTTCCTCACAATGCTGCAGGATTTGAACAGCATCTTCCATGGAACAGTTGTCCAGTCGAATATTGTCTATGGCAAGCAATTTATCACCTAGTTCCAAGGTCCCAGTTCTATTAATAAGTGGAATACATTATATGATTAATGTTTTGAACAAGCTGATTTGGGTATTCATTCAAATAATGATAACTTTTAAAATTTAAGAATGAAAATGATTTTTGTTTTACATATTTGAGGTAGCACATAAAAGCATTTTATACCAAGGGAAGCACTTGCTTTTACAATTGCAGAACATTTAAAAATACAGGGAGTTTGAGAAATGTGAGCAGGCAACGTAATCTTTGTCACCTTGTAAGCACTCACCTATGGGCAACACTTCCCTTCTTAATATCTGAAATAACAAGAGGATCCCCTGGTTTTCGACTAGATGGAGCTGAAATACAGAATACACAAATATTTGCAGCTGAAATAATCCCCCCAAACTATCCATACATGCATATCCACATGCTCCTTCTCTTTGGGGTAAGCAACTTTATATGATGTAAAAAAGAAAATAGACATAATAAGTCAAACAAATTGAAATCATGAAATAAGAAAAAGGAAAAGAAACAGTTTCCATCAACATCAGTCACTATACCTTTGCCTTTCTTTTTATTCTCATAAACAACTGTCATGTTTACTATGACTATACATGTCACATGTTACCATTTGTTCATTAAACTTCTTACTTGTCTTGTTTTTGAAGACGTTATCAACTTCATTCAACTAAGGATAATATTTTGATCTTCCCCTTCTTTTTAATCCATTCATTTTTTGTTCATATATTTGTTTTATGATTTATTCTTTCTCTCTTTTGTAAATCCTCATTCATTCTCTCTATGGGATTAAAGCACCTCAGGGTACTTATTTTGTACTGGTCACTCATCTTTGTCTTCAGTCCACATGAATTTAGCACTCATTCACATTTGACCCTTTCTTCTTCTTTTATTATATATGCTTCTTAATGATCTCACTGAACTCAATTTTATGGAATTTTTTTGACATACCCTACTCTCATTGTCCATATAATAATGTGGGCAGAAGTATACTCTTATTCATAGCTATTTCCACCTTTTCCAACAACATTCATTTCTCCCAAAAGACAATTTATCATCCACTACTTTTATATCAACATTTGCATGGTTTAAAATACTGTATCCATTTTTCCATTTTTAGTGAACATTCTATCAATGTGTATAAGTTCATTTATTTGCTTAAATTTGTTACTCTATCATTAATATTTTATAGAAAATATTTACACATATATTTTTGTATGCTAGCAAGAACATCTCATAATTAAATGGAAGGAGAATATGCATATTTGGTGTATTATACTAGGGCAATTTCATTTTTATATATTATACATGTTATCTTGGCATAAGTGTCTGATCTATACTGTGGATATATATCAGGAAAGGTTTCCTTTAATTTATTTCTTGAAATTCTTGAAAGAATGAAATTATTATATGCTCTCCATTAAAATTTCTTAAACTATATACCACAATTTGTACTGCAAATGGTACCCTACACAGGCTCCTGTTTCCTTCTAGTAATAAAATTTATGATGGTTCCCATTTGAAAATAGCCACTAAAAATATTCTAGGATACATCAGTAGTCTAATTCAACACAAATCTTGCTGAATCTTGCTATGTTACTTCTAGGTAAGAGTGTTAAAAAGGTATTTGATTTATTAAGATGTTTCATTGTATAGAAATTGCAGTACCTTGCAAAAGTCTATTAAGCACGGTAAAAGTGACTATGATTCCTATGTGGTCTCTGGGTTATGCAGTATATTTTCTAAGCAGTTCCCAGTAATTAGGAACATGGCAAGAACACATGTCTTTTACCAATCAATGATATTTATGCTTATTTTTTTCCTTCCTAATATTTTCCCACTTTTTGGATAAATCAAATGTTCATCCATTGGTTGTGACAGGAATGATTGATTTGTTGCCTAAGCTTGACATTGTGGTCTGAGAGAGATCATCTAGCTGGCTTTCATGCCTAAAGCACGACTAGAATTCACAGTCTCTTGGTTTATAGTGTGGTAAGCCTTAAGCACTGGACCAAATTGACTCTCTACCTGCTACTTATTTTAATTGCTGGTTTTAATTTTGATTTTAACTTTAAACACTCTTGCATTTGTGGCATTTTTGAATTGTTGTGCACTACCTCGATGTTGCAATAAACATTGCAATAAATAAAAAGAAAGCATATAAACTGAATAATAAAATTTAGAAATTATAAGGGAATCCTATTCCCCTTTACCATTATTTTTAGAAAATATAAGTTTTCCAGGTGGCATGCCAGAGGCAGTATTCATTTCTAAATAAAAAAAGTAAACTTATATAAACTTTTCAAATGTGAATTGAATAAGGATCAGATCTTGCAAACAGAGAACTGATGAAGATTTCACGCCTGTGAAAAACCAGTATTATATACTGGTTAGATATAAATCTATTTTTATGATTTAAATCAAGACCAGAGAATGTGAGCTGCTTTCTTTTTATGAATGCAATACAGGTTTATTTGCAGCAAAATATTTTAACATTCATTAATATATATATTTCAGTAGATTTTTCAAAATAGCTTGGTTTATGTTACAGAATATGATTTGTCAAAAATATATATTGCATATCTCTTAATTGGTTTAAAGCAAACCAATTATATTAAATTGATAATCCTTACATCTCTTAAATGCAGGTTTCAAATATATAGTTTATTAAAACAAATTAATTTTACTACATACATAACAATACAAATATTGTTATCAATTATCTAATTCCAGCCCTGTGGAATGAACTGCCCCCGGAAATACGTAAGATCTCCGACCTCCGGGTGTTTCGCTGCGCTCTGAAGACGCTGTTGTTCCGCCAGGCTGGGCTATTAACATAACGTTTTAAATTGGGGTATTTTAAATTTCTGGGATTTTAATTGGAGCCTAATTATTTAATGATTTTAAATTTTAATTGTTGTTTTGTTTTTGTGTTTTTAAATAGGCTGTACACCGCCCTGAGTCCTTCGGGAGAAGGGCGGTATAGAAATAAAATTATTATTATTATTATTATTATTATTATTATTATTATTATTATTAATTCAGTAAATGAGAACTGAGTCAATTACCAGATTACAATGCTCAACAGATTGTCCTCTAAAATCAAATGGTAATATTACTTTTAATACCAGCATTCACTTGATAAAAGTATAGTCTCAGTTCTAATAGTTTGCTTAAAAATAAATCAATGAATCCACAAGTTGCACCAGAATTATTATGTTGTATCCAGAATATATTGTTGAAAACTCATTTACACTAAATATATCCTAAGCATTTTTAGCACCACATACAAAATAATGTGCCATTCAGTTACTAATTCACCTACTTTGCTAAATACTGCAGGACTTATTTTGACCAATTACATCACCAGGAATAATCTGGATATTATCTGGAGACTTTTATCATTATTTATCTTGATTCTAGACCAGTAATGGCTAACCTTTTCCGGACTGAATGGCCAAAGAGCGGGTGTGCCTGAACCCCCAAAATGCAATGCACGTGCAGCCCCCACACATGCCCCACACCCGTGCATGTGCAGATGCCCCCCTCATGTGCCCCGTGCACGTGTGCATGCCCCCGACGCACCCCATCCCAGTGCATGCGTGGCAGAGATCCAAAGACCAGCTGGTTGGCAAGAGGCACGCATGCATGTGCAGCAGAGCTGACCTGGGGCGATGGCTCGTGTGCCATCAGAGATGGTGCTGCGTGCCACCTCTGGCATGCATGCCATAGATTTGCCATCATGGTTCTAGACTATTTATGAATTAAAACTGTTACCAAATTATAAGAGGATACAGCATTACAAAGGGGGATATTAAAATATTATAACTACTTATTCGCCAATATTGGCATGGTTGGTGTATAACAAAACAATTTATTTTACAGTAATATATTAAAAGAGTTTTTTATGAAACATTATGAATCTGCAGAAAGTCCATTCAGAATCTTGCCTCATGAGGGAGAGAACTTAGTAACAGAGATGCTGTTATAGAAAGGGTGCTGACACAAGTTCCCACCAACCCAACTCTTTGGGTGGTGAGACCAGTGATGGGTAGCTACCGGTTTGCCCTGGTTTGGGGAGGCTCCGCCCACCCACCTGGACATCATCAAATATGTTCTGCACATGCGCGCATGAGCGAACCAGTAGCAAAGGTAAGTGAAACCCACCACTGGATGGGACATATGAGAGGATGCCTGAAAAAGACTATGTAGTAAACAATTGAAGTTACTGAACTTCAAACTATCCTATTCCACATGTCTGGAAAACTGTGTGTACACACACACATTGTGTGTTTGTGCATAAAATAAAATAAGTGAAGTAGTGAAAATGTCTGTTTCTCTGTATTAATATTTTGTGCCTCAACTTTTCTCCAGAAGGACTAAGCTTGTAATTCCTTTTACATTTCATCCTTGCTATAAATAACATTGACTATATTTACAAAAAGAAAGATGTAATTATTGCAGAAGCTTGACAAAATTTCATGTACCTAAGTGATTTAGTAGATTCCAGCTTAAATAACAATAACAACAACAATAATAATAAAAACAACAATAACTCTAGTTTGACAAAGCAAGATAAAGTGTACACTATCATGTTACAATTCTCTACTGACAACCAACATTATAAAAGAAAAGATGATGAAAAAAATCTACTTCACTTACAACTTATGGTGATGCCAAGTTCTACATTATGCTTCTTTGGTAGTTTTACATGAAAAGTGCCACTACTTGGTATGACAGATTCTGTAATTAAAAGGTGCTTCATTTATTCATTTATGCCAAGTAGAAATCCATTCATTGCATTTTCATAATTCATATATAAGATACTTATTCAAGCAGTTCAGAACTCTCAGTCAAAAAAGTAAGTAAAGCAAATCTTGAACTATATTTTAGGTTAGTGATTTAAAATAATCATGTTGCATTGATTATTAAGGTAAAGGACTGAAAAGTAGAAGAGCAAACTTTAACATATAATAATATCACATAAAATTTAAAAGTTTTAAAGATCAACAATGATTTAACTAATTGTACACCATAATTATTAGAAAAACCCTTTCAACATACTGAAATACTTATCTAAAAATAGTGTTACTACTGTTGCATAACGAATTATTAAGATAACCAGTATGTTTAAAATATTTAACATTCTGATGCTACAAATACTTATCAGCAGCCTGAATTTAATGATAATTCAGTCAATTATTATATCAACGTTTCTAATATTATTTCATATACTATTATAAGTTAAAAAGTAATCTTAATCCTATTCTTTTATATATATATTAAATCTCACCCATTCTTAGCTTATATAGCAGTACCTTAATTTACTTACTTACTTACTTACTTACTTACTTACTTACTTACTTACTTACTTACTTTATCAATCAAACTTGTATGCCACCTATCTTGCCAAAGGCTACTAGGCAATTTACAGATATTGAATAAAATACAGAATAAATCATTCAAACAATAAATAAAAGTTTTAAATTTAAAATTCAATTAAAATCAAACTAAGCAGGATGGAGAGGGAGGGAACAAAGTATGCGCAGAGAGAAGATGGGATATTTTTTACTCCATTATACACCCCCAATGTGCCTCATCCCAATTAGAGCCCCAAGCTAGTTTCAGAAGGCCAGAAGAGTAAGAGCGGATCTGACTGGGGGCGGCGGGAGTGGGGGGGAGCAAGATGTTCCAGAGGGCAGGAGCCACAGCAGAATAGGCTCTTTTTTTGGACCTTGCCTGCCAAAATTCATTGGCTGACAGGGTGCACAGCATGCCCTTTCTGCTGGCATGAGTGGGTGGGCTAATACCGTCAGAATGAGTCAGTTTCTCAGATAGCTTGGACCCATGCCATGGAAAAGGTGATGACCAATATCTTGAATTGGATCTGGAAGCAAACTGGCAGCGAGTGCAGCTTGTAGAGCAGGAATGTAACATGGGTCACTACAGGGACCCAGGAACTGACTATGCAGCTGCGTCTGCATCAGCTGAAGCTTCCAGATACTCTTCAAGGGTAACCTGATGTAGAGCACATTCCAGTAGTCCAAGGGTGAGATGACCTGGCTTGACAGACTGAAAGCAGTCCAGGAAAGGGCACAACTGGTATACAACACAAAGTTGTACAAAGGCTCTCTTAGCCACAACTGTAATTAATGAGACTATAATTAATAGACACTAAGACTGTAATTAATTAATTAATTAATTAATTTTACACCAAGACTGTAATTAATAATGCATAGAAAATTCCAGGCAATTTATTTTCTTCTCATTTCTCTATACATCGATTGTTAATTTTATCATTTCAACTCTTTTTAATACATTGTTTCTAATTATTCCAGGTAATTCCTTTTCTGCCTATGGTGTATGATGTATTTGAATAAGCCGCAAAATAAATTCTGCCTGTACTTTGAAAGATTCAGGATGAATATTAATAAAATATTGGCATATACTAGGATTGTCTATGTATGTGTAATAACAAATTCAAATGGATTAAATTCTCACCATTTTAGTATATGGAATACTCAACTACTCATACCTGCAACATCAAATTCAATTTCCAGAGTGACCTTGCTAGTGATAGAAGAATCTCTGAGGAGCTGATTAGCTTCATCAAATGTGCTATCTTCAGTTAGGATCCCATTTATAGTCAGTATTCTGTCTCCTATTTGGAGGATGCCACACCTTCACACAAAATGAAGCAAATAAGATTCCAATATATGGAAAAGGAATAAACCCAATTTAACTGTTATGAAAGATAACAAAATTACATGTTCTCCATTAAAAGCTTGCTCAGTTATCATATCCAAAAACTTGCAATTTGATCTAATTTTGTTCCAAGGAAACTATATCATTCTATGTTTAAGATCAGCATGGTTTTAGCATAAAATATTAACAAAGTAGTTTAAAAAGCAGTGGTGATAATGAGGGGGTTTGTGTTTTTCAATTTCAGTTAAAAAGAGGGGGGGTTTCAATGTTCAGGAGGGTGAAAAATGTTCTTCGCTTGCAATTGTTAAAGCAGATGTATGTTTGCAAGGGTTGTGTAGCTGCTTTAAAAACTATTCCTGACATTGCAAGAATGTGTATGCACAACTGTTTTCTTCTCACTTCATTAAACATGAAACTCAGTCAACTGAACATTCAAAAATGCATCACAAATACCACTGACTGGTGCTAATGGTTGATACGGGTTCCTGCCAGCGTCCTAGGTATCAACCAAATACCTTCTTAAGATGGACGATGTTCCAAGTAGCAGAGTTTTTTGTAGTTCCGCTGGTGTTATTGCAGGAATCTGCAATTTGTTGATGTATCTTATAAAATTCTTGGACATGGTACCAAGTGCCGATGACAATGGGTATCACTGTTACATGTTTCATCCATAGCCGTGTAGTTTCGATGGCCAGGTTGCGATATTTCATGATTTTTTCCAGTTCTTTTTCTTCGACTCTGGCATCTCCTGGTACCGTGATGGTACCTGGTACCTGGTACCGTGATGTCAATAAATTGTACGTTTTGGAGACTTCCGGTTTGCTCTCCGTCGCTGCCAGACGGTCCCTTGGGACCGCCAGCCCCGTCGCCTGTAAAGAGCCGCCTTTACAGCTGAAAGACAGCTCGAAAAACTCCATTTCCATAAGGAAATGTGAGACAGAGCAGGTGAGGGCAGGTAGAGCTCTCTGCGAAGTCCCCAGAGTGTTTTTTTACTCTTGGGGATGAAGCAGATGAGGCTCCCTATTTCCCTCGCTGCTGCTCCGGGCTTCGGGAGACCTCTGCCTTTTTGCAGAGCCAGGCAACGAGAACAAGCCTTTTAATGAAAATTAACAGATTGTTTAATCAAAGAGGATGAGATCTGGACCTGGGACTCTAAATCGCAAGTATTTTCATTGACTTTATAAATGATATTGAAGAAAGGAAAAAAGAAATTTAAAATGGCGACTGCTGAGGCTTGAGAAGGGAAAGCTGAAAGCGAGAGTCCTTCCGTTTGAATAGTTTAACAAGCTACAAAGTAGCAGAATAAATACTGCTGGCTACAATTGAGAAGAAAAATTTCTACTTTTATGTTTCTTTCTTTCTGGAGATCTGATATTGATTTTGTTTGGAAAGAAGCTTTCTTTTCTTAAAAAAGAGTTTGTCTGTGTGGCAGGATGGCGTTTAAACTAACAAAGCCAGACAAACAAGCAGCGGGGGGGGGGATTCCCCCATTCACAAACTACGTGAACAAGCTTCAAACCTACAGACTCAGAAAAATGATTTTAACTTAAAAGAATTTGTCTTGGAGGAGATAGCAAGAAGGGATGAGATTGTGAACCAGAATTTTGAAAAATTCAAGCAGGAAATTAAAGAATTGATACAATCAAAGTATGACAACTTGAAACAAAAGATTATAACAGTGGCTGATACTTTTTCAGAAATACTTATAAAGATGGATAATAATATTAAGTTATTAGAGTCTAAAATGGAGGAAGTTGATGACAAGACTTATAATTTGGATAATAAAATACAAAGAATTGAAAATGATTTGACAAATATTCAAGACAATAGCTCAGAAGTAAAATTTAAAATAGAAGTTGATCATAAGACTTGCAATGTAGAAAATATAAAACAACGGATTGAAAAAGAAGTTTTAATGATGCAACACAGGTTCACAGAATTTGCGATCAGAATGAGAGGATTACAGGAAAATAATAGAGATGATTTAAGAAAAATATCTGCTGAAATTCTGGTTGGGATTTTAAAGGTTCATCCTGAGGAGGTATTTTGCAAGATTGATAGAGTCTACAGAGTAAACACTTGGATTGCAAAGCAAAGGCAACTGCCTAGAGATGTGGTGATTTATTTTACAGATAAAGAAATAAAAAATAATATTGTGCAAAAATCTTTTAATTCTACTTTACAACTGTATGGAAGAAAGATTTGGATATATAAAGATCTACTGCCCAAGATGTTAGTAGACAGAAAGAAATTTGGATTCCTGGTGACTGAGCTTAAAAAACAAAATATTTTATTTAGGTGGGATATTCCAGTTGGTATAATACTGAGATATCAAGGAGAAAGATACCAATTAAATACTGTTGAAAAAGCAGAAGAATTTTATTATAAGATTCTAAAAATGGGTTCAACATCTTCATACATAACACAGGATAAGCAGAAGGAGTTGGAAATAATGGAAAAACATCGAGCTACAGAGGTCTTCGTAGATGAATCGCTTTTGGATCCTTTAGATGTCTCAGTTGGACTACTTATAAATACGAGAGAAGCGGAGTTGGATTCTAATGTGATGACTCATCAAGTCACAGACAAGCATGGAAATCAACCAGTTGATACACAACTTATAGAAAAGAAACCTGAATGGCGATCTAAGCCACAAAAGCAAAACCAACAAGATCAAGTTATAGATCAGTACAAAAATCAAACAGTTGATATACAACTCATAGAAAGGAAATCAGGATGGAGATCAAACCCACAAAAAGTCAAGAAAAAAAGAAATAGGTCTCACAAAAACAAAAATTTTTAAACTAGGCAACAGCGTTGCCAGTTATCTAAAAGATGATTGAATATATGAAAAGACAGTTGAGGCGAAGTATTAGTTTATATTATCTTGAGGAGAGTGACAGACCTCTGCAGTGCCGTATTTTTGGGATGTGAAAAGGGCCTTAAACTGTTGGATTGGAATTATCTATTTTGGATTCTTTGATAAATGTATTACGTTTATGCTGAGTTACATGGCAAGAGAGCTACGTTGGGGCATGCAGAGGATCTGGTTGTTACCCCATTATGATGGTTGGAATTAATAATCTTGAAGAAAGCCACTACTACAGATACTATATGGAATACAATTATAATGTCACTCGGGTGGTTGTTTCTTTCTTTTTTTTTTATATGTACATGAAGATATTTATTATTGATGGGGGGCAGATGATAACTGAGGATTCCGAACATACTGTTGGAATTAGGATGTGATATTACCCTAATATGGGTGATGGAGTTAACAATCCAGTTGAAAGACATTATAGAAGACATTATATGGATTACAAGTTTAAAGTCATTGATTTTATCTATATAAAGGAATATTTTTTAGTAGGGTGGGCAGAAGAATAAAGATATTAAAAATTGTTATGTATGGTAATTTTGCAGGAAAGTGGGTGGAGACAGGCTAGTTTATTGCTTGTTTAGTTTAAGAAAAGGGATGTTTAAGAGATATACTTATGGGAGTGGAGGAAATGGATAGACTATGAGTTGAATAAATGTTAAATTAGGATTTATTATATAGCTTTATAGTGGAAGGCTGCTTTGAAATGTTATATTATTATATAGTCTTAAAGTGGAAGATTGTTTTGAAATGTTATATTAATATACATAAAAGGTTTGATTTAAGAGATATATGTATGGGGGAGGAGAAAAAGGGCAGATTATTGCTAAATTGGGAGTTATAATAATATTACTATGCTAAACCAGAAGTTATTATACAATGTTATAGTAGAATGTTATTTTGAAATGTATAGTAAAAGGGGGATATAATAATATTATTAGAAAGAAAGGGTCAGTATTTGGGGGATGGAGCAAGGGGATGGTAAAGTATTACATAATCTGTTATGAATTTGGGTTTTACTTTGAAGAAGTCACAGAGGGAGGGGTGGTGAGGGGGGGTTAGGGAGGTGGGGGGGAGAAAAAAGGGGTGAAAATTTGTATTTGAAAAACTTTTTCAATAAAAAAAATAAATAAATTGTACGTTTCGGTTTTCGACAACTGTAATATCTGGCGTGTTGTGTTCCAAGTGATGATCTGTCTGTATTCGAAAGTCCCACAAGATCTTCACCTTCTCATTTTCTATAACTTTTTCCACTTTATGTTATCATGACTTTTTGGATACAGGTAAGTCATATTTTTTACATAATGATCAGTGGATTAATTTAGCAACTCGGTCGTGTCTACCTTTGTAATCAGTTTATGCAATTTTGCTGCATTCACATATTAAATGTGAAACAGTTTCGACTTTGTTGTTGCAAAGTTGGCAGTTTGGATTGCCGGTGGATATTTGTATCTTTGCTTTCATGGCATTAGTTTGTAGTGCTTGTTCTTGAGCAGTGAGTATTAAACCTTCCATTTCTTTCTTGATGGTTCCCATCTTAAGCCATGTCCATGTCAAGTTGTCACCACATTTTCCTTCAATGTTTTTCAAATGCTGTCCATGCAAAGCTTTGGTTTTCCATCCATTTAATCTGTCATCCAACTGTTTTTCCTTATATTCTGCCTGTTTCTGTTATTTTTATAATGTTCTCTGTTTTCACAGCCTGCAGCAATCTTTCTGTGCTTTGGTTCACATAATCATTCAAACTTCATTTTTCTTCTTCTACAGTTTGATGGATTTGCAATAGCCCTCTGCCCCCTATTCTTCTTGGCAGGTACAACCTGTCGGTGTCACTTCATGGATGTAAAGCGTGGTACATATTCAAAAGTTTAAGTGTTTTCCGGTCCAGGTTTTCCAGTTCAGCTACAGTTCAGTTGATGATTCCAGCTGGGTAGCATATCACTGGATATGCCCATGTATTAATGGCTTTAATTATGTTTCCAGCATTCAGTTTTGATTTTAATATTTTGCGGACCCTCCTGATGTATTCCTTTCTCATTGACTCTTTGACTTTTCCATTCAGGATGTTATCTGCTTCCAATATGCCTAGGTATTTGTAACCGTCATCCTTTGCTAATGCTTTCATGATGCTTCCATTTCCCAGGTCTATTCTTTCTATTTTTTCCATTTTTTCCTCGCTGCATGGATAGTATAGCACATTTTTCAAGTCCAAAGTGCATTCTGATGTCGCTGTTGAACAGTAGAACTGTTTTGAGTGTTGATTCAAGTTCAGTGGGCCTTTTCGCATACAGTTTTAAGTCATCCATGTACAGTAGATGGTTTATCTTGCCATGTTGGATTGAGATTTGGTAGCCCAGTTTTGTGTTTCGTAGGATTATTATCAGTGGAATTAATGCGATGTTGAACAGTAGTGGTGAAAGTAAGTCCCCTTGGAAGATTCCTCATCTGATGTTGACTTTGCCAATGTTCTCCTCATTTGCTCTTAGAACTGTTTTCCATTTTTGCATATTTGCTTTCAAAAATATACAATTTTTTTTGCTGATTCCAGAGTTCAGACAGGTGTTAATTAAGCTATGGGGTAATGTGTCAAATGCCTTCTTGTAATCTATCCATGGCATATTTAAATTTGCATTTTTGCATTATTATTATTATTATTATTATTATTATTATTATTATTATTATTATTATTGTGACTGGTAAAAATTTAACAGTTCAAGTTGCAACCAAGGACCTAAGAGCTATTAAGGTAGGATCTGTGTATATAGGTAGTTCCGAGTAGGTTGGTTTTTTGCAAAGTCAGGATATTCAGGTCTAATAAATTCAAAATTTCCCTGTATCTAGGCAGTCCTTTGGGTATTGATCCAAGGGCTCCTATTACTATTGGTATAACCATTGATTTCTTCCTCCATAGTTGCTCAACTTATTATTATTATTATTATTATTATTATTATTATTATTATTATTAACATTTATTTGCCACACATCTTGTTTCAAAGCGACTCTGGGCAGTTTACAGCATAAAAGTATCATATATCAGTTATAACTGAACTAGGAAATTGAAATAGCAATAACACTTAGACTTATATACTGCTGCAGAGTGCATTACAGCACTCTCTGAGCAGTTTACATCATTAGCATATTTCCCCCAACAATCTGGGTCCTCATTTTACCAACCTTGGAAGGACCTTATCAACCTTGAGCCAGTCAGGATTGAATTCCTGGCAGTGAGCAAAGTTAGCCTGCAATACTGCATTCTAACCACTGCACCACCACGGGTCCTTATACTTTCCTGTTAATCTAAAATAGCAAATTTTTAATTAAGCTTCACAGATTCCATTAGAAAAAATTTATCTAATTATTTTAAATCCAATTGTCTGTCAAAGGTCGTCATCTAGATAACGCAAAGAGTAATTGTGATTTTTGTCATGCCTGATCACTTTTTTTTAAAAAAAACCCTTTGAAATCAAAATAGGAAAGACAGTATGTCTCACATTTTTTAGTGAACAATCCTGAGAAATTATCTGAATCCAGAAAATAGCTACTGAAAGGGATCGAAGATGTTCTAAGGCTAAGCAATAAAGAGGGCTAATAACTTTACCAATCATTTCAAAGAAACTCACTTTTCTGCTGGACTGTCAGCTTCTATATAGGAAATCAGAGGTGGAGATGATAATGTCTCTGTAGCAAACACACTGCCCTGGAGTTGTATTCCAAATCCTACAATCGGATCAGCTGTCAACACTACTTCGGTGGTTTCCGTGTGAACAACTTGCCCTGCCAAGCCAACAGTGCTAGAGGCTAGTGATACTGTAAAGTATATTAAAGAGAAACAATGACATTCAGAATGATAGCAAGTGAATTCATTTTCTGATACAAATACTATCTATGTAAAAACTGTAATAAAATGTCAAGTGTCACAATTTTCAGTTAGAATACTGAAAATTCAGAATCAACATATAGTAGTACTTAGCTAAACCTAGGAAGAGCAAGGAATATTAGAATTAGTGTTTGGGTGCATAGGTGAAAGAGATGATCTAAAACCCCGTAGGTCAGTTATTTCAGTCACAGAATCAGAGGATTGGCTGTCTTTACTCCAGTCAAATTTCTGGTCCTTAAATACTCAGCTTCTAGAAAGTCCCAGCCATGTGATTGATATGTTTTATTACCAGGCTTGTAATACTATTTTAATACAAAGGGTAATGCAAACTGTATACATCCTGCAGTCAAATATATTCTAGATTGTCTTTAAAAAGCTACACTTATTAAATTTTGTATTTTAAGTGTCCTGTTTATAAATATTTATTACAGAAAAGCCTGACTATAGTACAGAAGGAAAGCTGTGTATAGTAGATATTTGTGAAAATAATAACATTGGGTTACATGCACTGATACAAAAGTTAATTTTTTTTCTCATCCAGGGAGACCTTCTTATGCTTCTCTACCATGGCCATTTTGCTCAAAATTTGTTCAGGAAAGATTTCAACCTTTTAAAACAGCAGTCCCCAGCCCTTTGGGCACCAGGGACCAGTTCTGTAGAAAACAATTATTTCACGGGCTGGGCATATGTGGTTTCGCGTGCTATCTAGATCCCACACAGTCCATGCAGGCCACGCAAATAAAGCTTCGCTCACTTGCATGGCCACAGATGGGTACTGGTCTGCGGCCCAGGAGTTGTGGACCTCTGTTCAAAAAGATTTAGCAAGTCCATTAATGATGTAATCTTGATGGAAAATCATCCATATGTCTCCATTTTGGATACAAATATTAGATGAATAGCTACAATCTACCAACTGCAATCACAATAATAGATTTGTATATAATTATATAAGGCTACAAGTTTCTATAAGAGAAATTGTCAAGCTTCTACTTAGCAGATAAAAATGACTACCGTTTTTATAAGTTTAGTTAAGGAGAGAAGCTCATAAACCAAAAAAGCAGGAATAAAAAACTACCAGAAGATATTCTTTCATGAAGATTGATTTGCTCCAAGACTGCTTTCTTAATTGCTGGATTGTTATGAGACTGCTTCCTGAGGCTGCTTGCAGATTTCCAAACCCATAAACATGACTTTACAAGATCTCAAAGAAGATTTTACTGACAAAGAATCCTGTCTAGCTACTGTCCATTAGTACTGTCCATTAGCTACTGTCCAAAGAATTGGAAGCAGCTGAACAATAATGTAGGCATAAAATAATTCATTCATTTACAACTCCAAATAAATCTTATTTACAGTGTACTATACAGTATATAGATGTGACTCATAACCGTGTTCTAAAACATATAACCTTTGTATCACCTACATGAGCTTTTGAAGTCCTTCTTTTTCATTCTTCTTCTCATCAATGTTCCTCTTGGACTAGTAGAGTAGAGGCTGCGTGGTAAAGTTCCCATGTTTAGTGAACTCAAGCTGTATGCACTCATGGAGGCAGGAGAGAATGATGAAGATACCAAGGCTGTTGAAAGAGAAGGGCACATTTGGTGCAAAGCATTCTAGATTTGGTGTTTGTAACTATCTGTTACAAGATGGACACTGCCTAAAGTTTATAAGTCTCCACTAACCAAATCAGAAACTTAATGAAATCTAGGCATCAAATCACAATTTTTAGGTTGAAGTCTATTATTTAAAAAAACTCTTAGCTTGAACAAAAGCATAACTTTGTTTTTCTTAAATAAATAGGCAATTGTCATTCTCACAATTACTTCAACCATTTCTAAACACACAGTTATGTGAAATAATACATACCAATGTGTTTAGAAATCACATTTTCAAATCTAGCATTTGAAAAAGATAATTTCTGACATAGATTTTGCATTTAAAAGTATTTCCTTTAAAAAGTACTTAACTGTACATCAATGTGTTTAGGAAAACTGGAACCTCTGTAGTTTTCAAAAACTTTCATTCCTTATGAAAATGAGAATTAAAGCAGGAAAAGATACTATGTCAGAAATAACCTGAACGTGCTTGTGACAAACACTTAGACCCTATGAAACCAAAAGGTTTTAAAGCCAGAAATAGGAAAAGAATATGAGAAAAAGAATGTCATTAGGAAAACAACAATAACACAACAACAACAGCAACAACAACAGATGTCTGAAGGAAAAAGTATGGAACATTACAAAGACTTTTTTGAGGTGGTGTTTTCTGGCATTTCAAAGCTGGCATCCTGAAATGATCAGGGTGTTTGGTGTTATAATGGTGGTAACTGAGGGCACTGCTGTGACTCTTGGCATAAGGATCCCATAGAATCTGCTTGTTGCTCCTTTGAACCTTTACTGCCCACATGAAGGAATGAGAGAAAGTACATATTAAAAAAATGAAAAGAAAAGAAACCAGAAAATTATGAGTAAATGGGGAAAAGTAATTGGATAATATAAATAAATTAAAAAGGGAAATGAAAGTAATTGGATAAATATCCTGTTCCTACCACCTTCCTTTTTCTGGTGATAAGCAAATCCTAGAATGTATGCCACAACCTTCCACAATACCAGCACTGATGGGTTTGATACTTCAAAAAAAATTCTGAACATCTTCAATCAATTTTTAATCTGCCCCTGTCTTTAGCTACCGTTATTAAACCCTTTCAAGAAATCATTTAATCCAACATTATCAGCATAAATAAGATACAATTGGTAATTAAACTTAGAAAATATCCACCCCCTTAAGTGAATGTGCATATATTAAAAAACCAAAAACCAAACAAGAGGCTATATATTTTTCATAGTAATTTACTATGTGGTTTACATGTCAGTCATTTCAATTTATTACTTTGACATTTTAATTTTATCAGCATCTATCACTGGTACTATATTATTTAGGGCAATGAATTCCATCTCTTAAACATCAAAACAAAAATTCAATGTTGGAGAATTATTAATAAAGACAAAACAGAAATTCAAAGTCATAATTTATTGCTCTGAATTTCTTCAGACTATTTTTCATCGCAAATGCAAGAAAGGAAACGAATGCTATTCCTTGTAATGGTCACTTCTGAATCAAATTTACCTTAAGAATTCTCCCCTCCCCTCCCTCCATCAAAAGGTAAAAGGGAGGGTAAAGTAATCCTAAATTTATTAAATATACATTCTTCAAAATATATGAGAATTTCCAATTCTTATATTGTCATGGTGGCGCAGTGGTTAGAGTGCAGTATTGCAGGCTACTTCTACTGACAGCTGGCTACCTGCAATTTGACAGATCGAATCTCACCAAGCTCAAGGTTATTCAGCCTTCCATCCTTCCGAGGTGCGTAAAATGAGGAAATTGTGGGGGCAATATGCTGACTCTGTAAACCGCTTAGAGAGGGCTGGAAAGCACTATGAAGCAGTATATAAGTCTAAGTGCTATTCCTATTGCTGGTGCTATTGCATTGTTAAAATGTTAAATTATTATATATTGACACAAAACATGAAAAAAAATATAAAATAGGCTTCAAATTTCTCCTTGCTTATTCACTAAGGACTGAAAGGAAGTTTCCTCTTAGATTCTTTTATCAATCATATTTGTATATTTTTCTCCTGGGTTGTCTAGGTATAATGTTGCTGCAATTAACAAACATAAGAAACATTTTAAACACTGAACAGAGCATGTTCTTATTCACCAGTAATTTGGAAAGAATTACACATCTTTATTTATTATTAAATTTATATTGTTTCTTTTGTACAGATACTTAAAATAGATTAGAATAAAATAAAATATACATGAAGTCAAAATTAAAATCAGTAACAATGAAATTAACAATTATAAGCTTGGAAAAAAGTGTGTTCCTAATTTTGGGGAGTGGAATCAAATATTCTTTTCTGAGGAGTACTGTACATAATACAGGATCGGAGCCTCATAGAAAAAGATCCTCTCCCACATATCAAATAGGTGAACCTCTCACAATGGGCAATCTTCAAAAAAGTTTCTCCTGCTGATCATGACCAGGTGTGTTCCTACAGTACTGGGAAAGGTTGCCTCTCAGAGAGTCAGGCTGTATATTTTTAGGGCTTTAAACATGAACCACAGCATCTTCACTTGTTCTTAGTAGGCAACTGGCTTTCATTATCTTTCAATACAGGACTGAATCCTGTACCTTTGCACCGGGTAATAAATTAGCCATCACATTCTGCACCAGCATTTTACCCCCAAATAATGCATGTACAGTATCAAGAGAGATTGCAGTGTGTATAACTATCAGTAAATCTGGCTGGCTCAGGGTTGCAGTTTCATGTACTAACCATACTTGTGCAATTGTGCTCTTACTCCACCTTTCTCCTGAAATCCAGGGACAGCTAGGGGTCAAGATGTAATCCCAAAGTTTACAAGTGCTCTTTTTGGGGAGAACACCCCAACCAAAACAAATTTTATCTCAGTTCCTGAGTTCAAATTTCTTTTGATCAATAGTGCCTTTGCCTTATCTGAAATTATTTTCAGCCTTCAGTCCTTTATCAAGACCATTATCAAAATCAGATAATGTTTAAGGATGTTGATTAAGCCCTGGGAACTGGATATAGAAAACAGCAGAGTCGATATCATTAGCGTTCTGATATTCCACTCCAAAACTCTGCATCCTTTCCTTAGCAGTTTCACATAGATATTAAACAGTATAGGCAACAAGGTAGAACCTATCACTATGAGATAACTGAGATTAATAATCTGGGTACCACAAAACGCACATAACCTTACCACTAAATCACATGTCCTCAATGCCATGGACAATAGCATCAAAATTCCTGAAGAATATGGGAGCTCCCCATTTCTAGCTTCTGAAACAGACATCCACCAGCATAACTGAATCACTCTTGGTACATCTCACACTGACTAAAATGGGTGCAGATAATTATTTTATCTAAATCCCATGGGGCTGTAAAATTACTACTTTCTCAACCACTCTACCCATGGAGAAGAATGCTTGAGCCTGACTTATAATTACAGAGATCTTCCAAATCAAAGGCTTTTTGCAGTTAACAATCTTATAATTGCCTTCTTAAGCAGATGGCAACCGATACACATTCAGAGAGGGACTGATCAATTCTCTTGACCAGTGAAAACTTGGCAGATTTAATCATCCAGGAAGGACAATGATTGAGTACTTTCTGAATGAAAAGAGACACTATCGCTATTCATGCATTTCACACTGAATTAACTAGATTATGCCTAGCCCATAAAATACACCATATGCTTCCCTTGTTTTAGTGTACATTTTGTAGCAAAGAATCTTTTCTACTTGTGAAAGTTCCCTTTATGATTATGAACACTGATCTTTCAAGGAAAGCACCACAAATAGGAATGTAGAAATTATGCCAAAATTTGAAAGTTGTGCACAAAGGATTCTGGGACTGAAGAAGTTTCCTTATAACTCTTTTCTATCATCTTGCCTCTTCTTAGGTATAATGTTTAAAAAAATATTTACTATGCAACTGACTTTTTCTTAAAACCAAAGTTATTACTTTAGTCTCCAGTCCTATTGTAATATCAAGATTTTTTTTTGGGTGAGAAATACAAGAGAAAGAAATATTCCTCTTGTGATATTTCCTTTCTTTTTGCCTGTTAGTGCCTGTTTACTGACAGTAATTAGTTATCATTACCACTCTAACTTGCATTTCACTCCACCCTAAATCTTCTAATTTATTATTTAAGATATTAACACATAGTTATCACTGCTTTGTACAAGATGTTCTCTTAATCCACCTTGGATAACTAAGCAATATTCTTGCTAGTAACTAGCAATATTCTTGCTAGCAATATTCTTTCATGTTAACACAGTAACATGAAATTTTGTTTGAGCAAATTTAATTTTTGCTTCGTGTCAACCAAAGTCCTATTAACCAAGTCCTAAATATCAGCCAGTCTTATATTGGCTGAAAATGATCCCAAATTTATACTCAGAGGAATATTCAAAATGCACAGAACTACATTGTTGCATATAACAACAATAAATAAGGTAGTTAAAGCAGTATAGAGTGAAACACCTATTGATAATGGATACCTATAAAAATAAAATTATATACAAATCTTTGAGCAAGACTTCAGCACCTCTATTCACGTGAAGCACATTTATTCCAATCAAGTCCCAATGAATTCAAACAGCTGTGTGAAAATAATTCAATAAACATAATGGAAATATAATCATCCTACCATGTTCTGGTCCTTTAAGTGCAAGACGTGTCTGATGATGGGGAAGGATCTCTAGTTTGACACTGTCAGAAGTATTAGCCAAAAATTGTGTTGCTTCAGCCAAAGTACAATATTCCATGCTAGTACCATCAATAGACAGAATATGATCACCTATATGTAATGCACCACATCTATGGAAAAAAAGAAAACATTTCAAAATAGTCCTGTATGATTTTGAAGTATATCGTTCACTGGTTTTACAGCTATTTCTTTCAGAATTTTTCTTTATTTGATTACAAGACTGATATGGCAGGATTACCTTTATGGAATCCATGCTGATTTTTATTTGGTAAGGCTTTTCTTCAATGTACTTAGAAAAAAATAATTTTGGTTACCATTTCTGCCAGTTTGTCTAGAACAGGCAGGTAAGTAACCTGCCTATAATTCCCAGAACTCTCCAGAGTCACCAAAGAATTGCACAGATTGAAAGGAGCACAAATTGAATTCAACTCAATAGTTGGAATAATTTTTTGAAGAAAATGTAGCATTAAAGATTTAGCAGATATTTGGGGAGGAATAACTTTACTGAGAGAAAGCATTTTTGGAGCTGAGATTTTGAGTTTACAAACATGACCTGTCTACAATTTAGTTCTTTCTGATGGTTCTGCTATCCATACTCTTAATGTGTGAATTGCTCTTCTGAGTGCCAGATTATGTTTCCATATGATTTGTATACAGATGAATGACATAACAGGGAGCACTACAACTCACCTATCTGCTATACTTGCAGATTTTATTTTATCTATAACAATGACTTGCTTGCTGCAACACATTGAGGTAGATAGTGCAACGCCCAGAGCAGAACCAGCGGTTTTGGCAACTTCGACAAGCAGTGGCCCAGAAGCTGTTGTTACTGAATCTGTAAAAGCAAATGTCAGTGCTTAATAACGGCATATTTAATTCATTTTGAAGGGCTCCAATAAATAATTTCCAAAATGGATTTTAAAACAGTGGATGTATATCTTTCCAACCAAATAACAATTAGTAAAATACTTTGGCTTGCTATTTTAAAAATGGCTATTGTATCAGAAACAAGATTTGAAAGTACAATAACAACTGCCTTGAATACAGCTGTCTTGATATAATTCTATTACATTATATTTAGCACTTGGGCTTGTAGTTCTAAATCTGCAAAGTAACAATCAATATATGTCTGCAATATTGCCTGTTTTAACCAATGCCAATTATTATCATCTTCTTAGTGCCAAGTGTGTTATTTAGATCAGCATTAGCAAAAAAAAAAAAAAAAAAGATTATTATTATTATTAGTTCAATTTATATGCTGCCTTTCTCCGGAGACTCAGGGCGGCTATGCATACATGCAAGATATGCATACATGGCAACTATACCTCTGAAACTCACAAAGACATCTGTTTAATAGACTGTGAACTATTTCAAATAATGCATAACACTTAAATTGAAAGATTAAACTACATATTGTATATAGTTTATACCTATAACTCTGGGAAAACAGAAATAATCCAAAATGTATTGTTTTACTGCAATTTTTACATATTTGCACTGATTACATAATATCCTGCTGAAACATCTTCCAAGAAAGACCAAAGAATATTTATTATCCCAATCTTCATGTTTTAAGATTCCAACCACACTATCACCAAGTCAGTGATTAAATTCTGTGTGGCTGCAGTGAAAACAATGGCAAAAATAATGCAAATGTAACAATAATGCAATTTTGATTTTGAATTGAACAGCCCTCTCTCAACAGAAGGGAAGGGATACAACATCATCTATTTCCAGTCTACAATACAGTCCTTTCAACAATTCCACGAAGGCTCCACAGCCATTTGCACTACTCGGGTGACCCTGATAACACAGATAAACCTCCAGGTGACCTCAAACAGGGGTGTCAATATCACGTCATCACGGCAGTGTCATGTGACATATCGGGACTTTTCCCCCTTTCGCTAAACCGTGAGTGGGTGTGGCCAGCATGTGATGCATCCGGACCACGGACCAGGAGTTTGACAGCCCTGCTCTAAAAGAAGGCAACGACCAGCTGTCTGCAAGGAATATAAATCTTTCCATTCCCCACCATCCAACCAGAGCTGAAGAAGCTTCTTGCATGAGAAGTGAAACATCTTCAAAGAAAAACCAGAGAGTCCAGTTGCCTCTTGACAAAGCACCTTTGGGACAACTATGACCTGGATGACTAGGAATCACCATAGCCATCAAACAGAAAATGTTTTAGAATATTCCTCTCCAAAAGTCACAAAATAGCATACAAGATATTAGCTCTCTATAATGCAGAACTCTGGATGATTTTTTTCTCCCTCTGAATTTATTTTACCATCTAGCCATGAAGTTCTCTGCAGCTGGAATCTTACTCATTTAAAGTCCTTTTGGGGGGAAGGGGAGACAGCCAAAGGAACATGGCTGTAATAAATTAAGTCACTGGAAGAAGTTGGCTACAATTTTTGGTCTCCAGTTTTTAGGGAGTTAGGTTTGTGATCTTTGAGTTTGGTAGATTAAGTTTTACTATCCTGATATGGATTTTGGCATTTTTCTTATGATAAAGATGGTTACTTCTAGTTCTAATTGAAAAGATAAAGGCATAATTCAATTTTAGCTCAGCAGAATGTGAAAACTTTTCCACAGTAACTGTGACAAACACAAACCATAAATTGCTTCACATAATTTGCTATTTCCAGGGTTTTGTAGAAATTTAAAAAATGTGTTAAGTTTAGACTTTACCCAATTATGTTTCTAATGTCCTTTAAAATGCAAGAAGTAAATGCAGACTACCAAAATATTAAGAAAAAGTTGTGGCAAAGATAATAAATAAATACAAAGCCAAGACAGATTAGTTTATCGTGTACAAGTAAGAACATTACTGTAAAAATGAATAATAAATATATAAATTACTCATGCACAAAACATACTTAAATTATTAAGATATTTACAGATTGACTACAGTAAAGCATTCATATAACATGTTCTGTATTGGCTATGTAATTATATAATATATGCTGATGAAATATGGACATGGAAAGTACTCATAGAATTTTATTTTGTTATTAAGTTTTCCTACTTCTGCACATTACATCTCAATCAGCACACAAGACTTGATTAAAGCTTCCCAGAGACCCTCTAATTGCTTCCAGCTTGCTAATAACAACCTGGGCTTTTTAATCAAACAACAGGATACTTTTTCCCTTAAGAAACCTAATCACGACAAAGGAGAAATACTTTCAGCATTCCACTCAAATAGGAATTAGAATGCAAATTTGATTTCTGTAAAACCAAAGAAAGTGATCATCTCCCCCATCCCTTTGAAGAATATTCTGGAAAGAAGGCTTATTTATTGATATAGGAAATGTGGATAAACAAAATTATCTTGACAGATTCAAAGCTTTGTTTCCAGATGAACGTGCTCCACAGAATTTATTATAGAATTTGGATGAAAGGGAAAGTCCTGTTACAAAGTCCATTTATTCTTCTCTGCCACTATTACCCAAGGCTACTAGAATTATTTCATCTATTGTTTTTGAAGATTGAATTTCTCTTACAAGCAAAAACACTGAACAAACCATCTACTTCATAGTATAAGTGTGCAGCATTTCATGTTCATCTGCACAGGAATAAGAGTTATGCATAAAGATATGTAGTGCTAGCTTACATGTTGGGCTAACAATTTGGAGAACTTAATGCAGGATTTTATAGCTGCCTCAATTTGTTGATAAACTATAGCTGTGATGGCGAACCTATGGCATGAGTGCCAGACGTGGCACACAGTGCCCACTCTGATGGCACACAAGCCGTCGCCCCAGTTCAGCTCCATTGCGCATGCACACGCACTTCCCACCAGCCAGCTGGTCTTCTGTTCTCTGCTGTGCATGTGTGAAATGCAGGGCACATGCAGGGAGGCCACATGCGCATGCACAGAGGCAGGATAGGTGCAAGGGACTGCGTGCATGCGCAGAGGTAGGGCGTGTGCGGAGGGGCCATGTGTGCATGCATGGAGGGGCCACGCACACATGCATGGGGTATGGGACACATGTATGGGGTTGCAAGCACATTGCATTTTGGGGGTTTGGGCGCACATGCGTGCATTTGTGTGTGCACGTGCGAGCTTTCGACAGTCAGTCCAGAAAAGGTTAGCCATCATTGATCTATAGACATTCCTACAAGTATGAAACCATTTTCAGACTTTAAATATATATGGATTACATTGCAGTGATTAAAACTGCAGCGATTAAAACTGAAACTCAACACATTAGATGTTTTAATGTATTACACACACATATTTTCTACAAGACTGCATACAAAGTATTTCAGAAGTGTGAAAAATATAGTTATTCAGCAATTAGAAGGCACTTTGCAAAGGAAATCTTCCTAAACATGCATTGCATGTTTAAATTGTTGCACTAAACTGCCATATTCTCCAAAATTAAAGAGGCCTTGATGAATTCAGTTGGAACAGGAGAAGTTAATTTCTTCAAAAAACTACAGAAGCATTTAGATATTGTACAGCATAACCTTGTTACCTTATTACTTGTACATTGTTGATATTGACCATTTCTGAGGAGCTGGTGTCCATGTATAGTATTTTTGTTTGAATTTGTTTTTGCCAATTTAACAGTGTACATACTTGGCAGAATTCATGCTTCATTAATCAAAGTAACCTTTTATGTATCTCAGATCTTGTGAGAAAAATCAGAAACTCTATCAGTGAGCAAGTAGAGGGTGAAATGTCAAAGCTATCACTGATTCCCTGTCAAAAGTTTGCATTCTATCTATTTCACTTTGTTAATTAAATGTGAAACCTAATGCCTCAAGTACCTTAGAAAGAATTATATATCAGGGGATGTGATGGCTCAGTGGTTAAAAACGCTGAGCTTGTCAGCAGAATAATGATAGAGCAGGTTCGAGACCCAAGTGCCATGCAATGGGGTGAGCTTCGATTTACTTGTCCCAGCTCCTGCCCACCAAGCAATTCAAAAGCATGCAAATGTGAGTAGATAAATAGGTACCCCTTCGGTGTGACAGTAACAGTGTTCTATGTACCTCAGTATATAACCATGCTGGCCACATGACCATGAAAAAGTCTTCAGACAATGCTGGCTCCCTTGGCTAAGAAACAGAGATTAGCACTGCCTCTTTGACATGACTCTAAGTAGAATATATAAAAGAAATAAATATTTCAAAGTTAGATTTATTCTTACGAGTGCTGGCTGTAAAAGCCAGAATATAAGATACACAATTAAATCTTTTGTATCTAGAGATGGCTTCCATTATAACCAACAAAATCAGCCCTTCAGGAATCCCAAAAATGTTCTTTATTGTGAAAAGATAGAAGGACAGATTCTTGAAAGGATCATCCTCTGCCCTAACTTATACCAAACAATATCAAGCAGGGTTATTTTGAGGTTCTTTCTTACACTTTCCTTTTCAACAGATGTCAAATCTTTTTTTTTTTTTTAATTTGATTTATATGCCGCCATTCTCCTGAGACTCAGGGCGGCTTACAATGCGTTAAGCAATAGCCTTCATACTTTCGTATATTTTATACAAAGTCAGCTTATTGCCCCCACAAACTGGGTCCTCATTTCACCTACCTTAGAAAGGATGGAAGGCTGAGTCAACCTTGAGCCTTGGAGAGATTCGAACCAGCAGTAATTGCAGGCAGCTGTGTTAATAGCAGGGTGCTTAGACCACTGTACCATCAAACTTTTCTGAAAGTTCCTTCTGAATGATTTGCTCATTTATTCCTTGTTCCCAATGCCAAATCTATCTTCTTTCACAATACAGGAGAGTGCTTACTTGATGACTGACAACTTTGTCCAGGCACTCCCCAAGGCAGAATAGTACATTTTGTAAGATCAAAAAAGTTAATGT